AAGAAACTTTTAAAACAAAATAATGTGGTACTCAGATAATAGTAATATTGAATATTCGATAACTATGGTTCTATGTGCTTAAGTTCTAAGATATATAATACATTTGTAAAATAAGAATTGAACATAGAAAAAAAATCGGAATCCTACCACAGCAAGCAAGTATGATCCACTTCATGGTGCAACGAAGAGACTATCAACTAGATTAACCTTCAGAAATCTATCAATTTATATTTATACATTGTCCAACCATGCAGTTCAGTCGAAACATACAAAATCGTGATTTTCATTTGAGAAACATGTAGGGCATGGTTCCAATATGATCAAAATTCAGATCTATCTTGAATCGCTTACTCGTAAAAGCATATAAGTAATAAACATAGCGAAATCACAGATCTAATTTTAATTAGATTGTTCATGGTTAATAGATATGCAAAAAAGAATACTGAAATGGTTAAATGACAATCTTCACTTTAGGCCATATATGGCCTTGATTTTCAACTTTATCATAAAAGAGCAAAAAGGTCATACTTTAGTACTTACATGGATCTATTTCAAAAGCCTTATTACTAGAATGAACAAATCTTTTCATAAGAGTAGATGTTATGATTTAAAAGCGGGATATTTTTGATATATTGTCAAAATACGATGATTTTGTGTATTTTTAGGACCTAAAAGCTTGAGGAAACCCTGGTTCTCAACCTACAACCCAAAATGTTCTGTAACCAAAAGATTTAAATGATCATATTAAATCCATAAACACAAACACTTTCTAGATCAGGGGTGGCGGCCAAAGTAAATTATGCTAAAAACTGTTAAGAATTATTGAATAATTTGACCAAAACTGACGTTACAACACAAATAATGCATAATTAAAGGGTCACTTCTTCGTCACTTGTAATGTGATTTGCCAAAAAGAAGTTATTTAAGGAATGATTGTAACATTTGTTCTGTCTATGAAGAAATAACATCAAAAATGTGGTGCAAACTGAATAACCTGTGAAGCGGGTTATTTAAAAGTGTGCGCCACATTTTTGAGGTTATTTCGAATAGGCAGAAAAAATATTACAGTCTTTCCTTATAATTTAATTCTAATTCCAAGGAGTAAATCATGAAAAAACTTTGATGACGTCACTATCACATGACAAAATTATGTCTATGAGCTGATAGACAAACAACTTTCAGTCATAATCAGAAGACGTGTTACATCCAAAATTAAATTATTTTGTATTAATTGTAATATAACAACTATCTCTATGTGAAAGTTGTAGTATTTTGACCTGATTAAAAAAAAACATCACAATCTACGGACTAATTATAATCCTTCGTGAACTTACTTCTTTGTATTAGCTGTATAAGGATTTGCTTAATGATTATTTTTTTGGAGGCTAGATTTTTAGTCGTACTTTTGAGGGTTTACATCTTCATCGTAGTTTTTGTGCTTGTGATGGAAAGAAGTTTTCATCAGTTCAAGTATCATTTAATAATGCCAACATTCAGCAGTTCTTTGATCCAAATAGTTAATCTATCAAGTTTGAATTTCGCCATTACCTTGAAAATTTACTTACAAATTATTTAATCATATTTAAATAAAAACGTAAGCATATCATTTTTATTTTACTTGAAAATGCAAGAAATGTGATAATTAATATTACAATCATTTCTCATTTCCTGATGATTTAAACTAGTCAACAAAAGTAACGTTACACAAGATTGAACCCAAAGGAGAAGGTTCAAGAAGGGCTATTATTGTTGACCCTTATATTTTTATGTTGTTTTTTTTCAATCAGGCCAAAATAATACAAATTTAACAAAGACTTAGTTGTTATAGTATTACTATTCGTTTAAAAAAAATCTTTTTGGCACCTCACATTATTAATTACGAAGTAATGATTAAAAGCCTGATAAGTGTTGTAACTTTAGTTTTTGTCTTTTTAGCAAAATTTACTTTGGCCGCCAATCCCGGTTCGAAGTCTTTTTGTGTCGAAGTATTCACCATTAATATTGGTACCTTTTGGCTACAGAACATTTCAGAACGTGGGTTGTGGCCAAGGTTTCCCTAAAGCCTTTAGGTCCGAAAAATGCACAAAATCATCGTATCTTGACAAGATCTCCAAAATGTGCTGACCATAGAATCTATAATGTTATATAATGTAGAAATGTGTTAACTTAGAAATAAGGCATTCGAAATAGGTGTATGTTAGAACAACATTGGGACCTTTTGGATATTTTATGATAAATATGAAATTCAAGGCCATATAGAATGTCAAAAATGCATTGTCCTTTACCATACGATATGATAAATAAGAAAAACTATTCAAGCATCCAATGAAAAGCATGCATTTGATGATTCAGAAAATCTTTTCAAGCATCCAATGAAAAACATTCATTTCTGATGATTCAGAAAATTTTATCAAGGCGGAAAGTATACGGTGTAAGTATAAGTGTAAGTGTTATTGGATAATGGGGTAAAATTCATTTCGGAAAATGATGAAAAAATCGGAATATAATTTCGAAAAAGTTTGCGTATACAAATATCTGCCAATGAATTAAAAAAATTTATGAGACCGTGTTCGTGTTATTGTTTTTTTTTAAATTTTGAGTGAGAAAAAACATGAAATCAATTAATTACGTATAAAATGTTTCGAATTTTTTGCATTAAATCAACGACTTTGACGAAGAAACATCACTCTGTATAAACATTAGACAAATTGAGCAATTTTCAGCTTGGTACCACGTATGCAATTTCATCATAAAAGGAATATGCATTTTCATGTATCGTTTCTTTTGTTCACTAGTATATTTAAAGGAAAAGTACGCCTCGGTCTTTTTCACCATGATAGGTTGAACATGTTTTGTTCTTTGTTAAACGCCCGCTTGCTGGTAATTTTTGATAAACAAACACGAGAAATATTTTAGAAAATTAAGAAATTGAAACTTTAAGCACTGTTCTAGGTAAGGGCAGGGTTGAGCGCTCACAAACATGTTTAACCCCGCCACATTATATATGTGCCTCTCCCAAGTCAGGAGCCTGTAATTCACGGTTGTCGTTGGTTGCCGTCTGTCATATTTTTTTTTCGTTTATTGCTTTTTCATAAATCTTAACTTTTTTTTGTGTTTTAATTGTTTCACATTTTGTCATGTCGGGGCCTTTATAATAGTTGACTATATGCTAATGGTTTTGTTCATTGTTGAAGGCCGTGCAGTGATATATAGTTGCTTAGACAAATACATCCACATCATTTGGTCTCTGTTGGATATGTGTCTCATTAGCAATCATACCTCATCTCCTTATTTCATATCTAACCATATGTATGTCCTAAATCATTATTGATTTCAAGATAAAAGCATTGTATGCTTATGTGTAGCTTAATTACTGGTTAATATAATTGAACATTAATGATTTTGATGCTCAAAATGATGTCAAGCTGTATGACATGTCTAGTCTATTATGGGTGTGTTTTAATTTTTGTGTGTGTTTACTTTCAGGCTTGCTGATAGTTTATTTTACTTGACGCGAAACAAATTAAAAAATCCAGTCATGGCCTTATCTACAGAGCTTAAATTCAACACTATACGATCAACTTCGTGATATAGATATGTAAACCATGCATACATGACATCGCATGAAATTTCATGTCCTAAAATGGAAATGATTTCCGATATTTAGATAGGCCATTGAATTGTTTTAGATTTTGTCATACCAAGGCCTCTTATAAGGTACTATACAAGGTACGTCTTTTGATTATCATAGTCATTGAAGGTCGTTCAATGCCTTATATACATGTACGGTTGTTTATTTCCTCGTTCTTTGGTCTCAGCTGGATAGTTGTCTCATTGATAATTATATCATATTTCCTTATCTGTAAATAAACTGAATATTATCAATGCGTTACCTACCATCGAGACAGACGAGGCTGTAAATTTAAACTTTTTTTCTCTCCAGGAAAGAAGATGTTGTCAAAGACATTTGGTATATTAAATCTTCGGAAATCAGTCCTGTTTTTCAATTCGAAATTATGTTCTAGAAATTCATATATTGTTTTCAATTTAGACTTGTATATTTATATATATACATGACTGATCATTTCTTGGATCATTATATCTATTCTTACACCACAACCCTTCCAATAATAAATTAGACAAATTGTATAAATACCGGTATTGTTTTGAAGACCGTAACTATAAAAATTATGTTGAAATCTAGTTGTCTTTTAGTTTTAGTTGTTACGTTGCTGTCTCGTTGATTTTATATACCCAGCATCCTCTGCTGAATTAAAAAAAAAAGGTTGAGGCTAGTCAAGTTGTTGTTTTATATACTGATATCTTCTTTATTCGTATGAATTAAAGTGCATCATACGACTTCTTGCGTTTGATATGGTCCCAATGAATTGAATGAAGAATGTTGTTCCTATACCAAATTAGATTTCAATAAAAAAAACTTTCTGTGTAGACAAATAATAAAAAACAAACAACAAATACCTCAATCATTTCATTTTGTGTGTATTAATTGGGATAAGGAGTAAGTAACTCATACTACTTCCCTTGATAAACGACCATTCCAATGTGAAAGCAATTGCAGAAAAAAAAAACACGTAAACAGTTAACTTTTTTTCAAACTTAGATCTACAATAAATAATGACATGGTTTAACAAGCTTAACAAACACATAAACGAAATGTGCAAATCAGCATACAAAGGCAACTGGCACAGATGAAATATAATAATATTCTTTATTTACAGAGGGTAACCCAATATTAGTTTTCACTAATCTTACCGTTGGGGCCCTCATTAATCTTCGAAAGAATCGGAAACATTCTGCTCATTAAATTACAGAACTTCAAACAAATTAATAAGTTAATTATTCAGAACATTATTTTTATTCCAGTTAAGAACAAAGAGGTCACAAAAAACCAACACTCGGGTGCGGGACAATGTTTGTAAAATTCTAACAACGTCCGTTTCAGTCTAGGCTTTTGAAAATGACAGGTTTTAGGTTGCACCATTATCATCACAAGAAAACCCGCCATTTTTACAAATTTTTTTTAAAGACTGATTAGCGTCGAGAAAGTTCAACTTATCAGTTGTTCATCACTTGCATTAGTACTGTTAAAAACGTAAGCCTGAAATTTTGTGGTAGCTATAAAACTCATGTCATGCGAGACCGTAAACAAAATATGCTAAGGTCTTGACAGCACTCAGCAGGCAGCCTTTTCAGTTTAAAAATTTCAAACACCCAAATAATTTGAATAGTCCGACATAAAGCATTAAGGTTAATGACCCCTTCTGTAGGCTTGTGTATTACAAAATATTCAGAGTTCTACAATATCAAAACAGTAAAAATACAATATAAAAGTGACCTGCCATTTTGTACATTGATGTACAAATGTAGGATAACGTTGTTCAAAGCAATATACTGTTAAAATATTTCATTTCATTAATAGATATGGGGATTTGGTGGCAATTGTAGCCAAGATTTTTGCAAAAACCCACAGACTTTATTGCAAAGGTTTCATTGTAAAATTGTAAACATAGATTACTCACTTGTTTGTCTCACAGGCGCTTGGGTATATGATACAGAATATTTTTTTTTTTTTGTTGATTAAAATATTCAATTTTCTATATTTATACTACATATCTATCACTACTGCGCATGTCTCATCTAGTTTCGAGTGATTTTACCAACTTTGAGACAAACCCCCATTTTGTTTCTTAGTGAGTATAAGTGTGGATAGTAAAATGGGGGTTAAGTGTCTCAAAGTTGGTAAAATCACTCGAAACTAGGTGAGACATGCGCAGTAGTGATAGATATGTAGTATAAATATAGAAAATTGAATATTTTAATCAACAAAAAAAAATATAAAAAAATATTCTGTATCATATACCCAAGCGCCTGTGGTTTGTCTATGATGTGCTGGCGTTTATTGTCAACAAAAAGTCGTAAACAACCTTTACTATCCAAAAACCTTGAGCTGAATCACTAAAGTCGAGCATACCCTAGAAGGTGTACTTGAATAAATCCATTTATTACACTCGTTTTAGCCAATATCTTTATTTTAGGGAAATCATTGCTAGCACTGCATGCTACAATCCTCTATCTATTTAGAACTGATGATGACTTAATTGTCAAATATCATGAATATAGGAGTACAGTGGGAAAGGCTGCAGATTTTTTATACAATTTCCACAAGTTAAGCATTGAAACAACAAAAGGGTACATTATCCATGTTATCCTTTAAAGCCCCCGAGTGGGTTACTGACAATCCTTTCGATATAACTGTGCCGACAGCACTTGCCAAATCATACCCTGTTCTAACCAGAAAACATTGAAAAATATACCCTGTTCTAAACAGAAATATTGAAAAACATACCCTGTTCTAGACACGCTCAGAAAATGTAAACCATGGAATGATTCTGTTCTAGACTGTATAAAATAGATGCTGTTCTAGACCTGGGTTCTAGACTGTATCTTATAAACAGTTAAATAAGCGATCCTGTTTTAGACAAATACTTTGTTTAAAAAAAGTCCCTGTTCTCACCAGCAGGGCATGAAAAAGCTACCCTGTTCTAACCAGCAGGACATGAAAAAGGGACCTTGTTCTAACCAGCAGGGCATGAAAAAGCGACCCTGTTTTGCGACACACTTGTACCACTAAAAATATAGGAAGTAACCCCCCCGGGCCTTAAGCATGAAAGGTCTATTTAAATTCAGTGCATCATTAGCATATAAATTGATCACTCAAATACACATATTTGAAACAAAAACAAATAAATACAGTAAAGAAAAAAAGCAATAATAATGTTTACATTCAAATCATTGTGTATGTTTTATACAAATACACATAAATCTATTTATAGCCATGAAGTCAATCCTCAATCTTAAGGCCTGTTTGCACAAATTGTCTGTAATGTGCATGTTTACTCCTTTGTGCTTTATGCTCAAAATATTTTCAGATCATCAACATTTATATTTCCGTGTTTTGGCAGGTTTTGTTCATCTAATACTTAAATAACACCTATTTAACTTTCTACCAAGGTAGTTTTATTCATTGCATTATATTCTGAAATCCTTTTATAATAATTACTTAATTACATTTCTGCTTGACCAATTAAAGGCTTTCCGTTGATTGAAATATTCATTTTAATCTTAAAAGAGTAAGCTTAAGACTGTTTAAAATATTGGTTAATTAAATTGACCATATGACCATTGTGGAAAACTATTTCTTAATTTAATTGACCATTTGACTTGTGCGATGTTGTTGAAAATCCTCCATACGAAATGGCAGCTTTAACAGTATGCCAATGGGGAAAAATTTACTAGTCTCATGGGGATGACTACTTTGGATTCATTTGAAAAAACTCCCCGAAAAGTCCAACACTCCAATAGGCTGATAAAGTTGGGAAATAATATATTGACGTTTATATTTATACTCTTCACAGGATAGAGCGAGACCACTATGGTATCAGATAGTTCATTGGAATGATTTATAGGAAAAATCAGTTGCAGATTATTGAATTGTAGCTAGCCTAGGCTTTTCTCTGGCTGTTCTTTTATTCAAATTTGTACTATATTTTTTTTTTATGTAAGCTAAGCAAGCTCATGAAGCTTGTTTTATTACACTATTATAACCAACTTCTAACTTAAAAAAAAATGTTTTCTCTACAAAATTACCCTTATACATGTTATACGCACATGTTACAGTCATGACAGTAAATTCAGAAATTATTGCAAGGTTTTTATTAATGTGAATAATGCAACTGGGTGAGTATCGGAATAATAAGAACTCGCATTCTGATTTCGATGCATACGTCTGTATGCAGATTTTCTTGAAAGCGCAATAATTAATCTGGCATTGTTGTCCATTCTTCAAAAATCGCAATAATATTTGCATGCAATAATTTCTGAATTTACAGTAAACACTAATATTATTAGAGGTGTTCCTGTCCATAGGATGCTAATACAAAGAAGTTATTAAGAAAAAGCCTGAGGCATGGACCCCTTTATTTCTTTTTTTATATGGACATGGGGTTGAAATACAAAAGTGTAAAAGGAAAAGTTGCACAAAATGAATAAGCAAGACTAACAGCAGGTATATAATCCATCCACAAAAAAATCATCTTGCCCTCCCCTTCTTACAACCATTCTTTAATGATTTCCTAAAATGGCTAGGTCTAATCTTATTGGTTCATCAAATGTGTGTCAACAACTGAATGGGGCAATGTTTATTTAATATATAGTTAGAAAGGAAAAATAATCAGTCTACTAAGAATAAGTAAATTTTCAATGTTGTCACGGCTGATCATGTTGATTTATTGATAAAGAAATTAATTATATATAACATGTATGAATAAAATAAGAAAAAAATGGATTCATGACCAAGTGTAGGCAGGTAAGTGAGACAACCAACATAATAAAATACCCTTTATGAAAATTTTTGATAGCTATTATTGATTCATATTAGTATGAAAATGCTCTATTATTGTGATTTTGATATTAAAACAAATTTGTAAAGTAAAATGGATAATAAATTTTGAAACAACGAAAGTAAGTATGTGTTGTGTAGAACCAGAATACTCTGTAAAGACTACTGGCTTCTGTTGAAAAAAATTTACAATATAAATTCCAACATCTAATTTGTATGACATGAATTCATCATATAAATATGTATGTCTTAAAATATATCTTCAGAAAAAATTGAAAATGGAAAGAAATCTGTGTCGGTACTTTAACACAAAGAATGGCTGCAGAAATGGTGACAGCTGTCCTTACATTCATAGAAAGAGAAAAGTAGCAAATGTAGCAAGATGTAGATACCACAGGTACAGTATGATATACATATCTTGTATATACTACTTTTCCTCTGTCTGTCCGTCTGTTTGTCTTGTCATTGCTCCTGAAAGTTTTGTCTCATATTTTAAGAAACATTTCAAATCAGTACATGTGAGTGCTATATGGTGTGATGCATTTTCACATCCTTCAATTATTGATTTCTTGTTTTGTATTAAAACTTATTAGCTCACCTGACCCAAAGGGTCAAGTGAGCTTTTTTATCACTTAGGGTATGTCATCATCAGTTAACTTTTACCAAAATCTTCTTCTGTGAAACTACTGGGCGAAAGTTAATTAAACTTAGCCACTATCATCATAGGGGTATCTATTTATAAGAACATGAGTCTGCAAGACAAGATCTACAAATAAGTGCCTATTATCTTGAAAACTATAAAAGATAGATAGACACTTTATATCGCAAAAATGATCAACAAGACAAGATCTTCTAATAAGTCAAATCTTGATGAACTTGTTAGTAGACTTGTTATAGAGTGATTTCCCTGAAATGATGTTTTTTACCTTTTTTGTGTTTTGGGCAAAAACTAAAGAAGATAGAGAGAAACTTTAAACAGAAAAATTATCAGCAATACAAGATCATCAAAAAGAGATTTTTTGTCATGAATTCTATTCTAATCCACAATTTTGGAGAGTGTCTATTGTTGAAGATGCACATAGATCTAGGTGAGCGAAACAGGCTTTTTAGAGCCTCTAGTATATTCTTACACATAATGATCATTTGATGATGAAGCAAGAAATTTTCTTTGCATTTTTACCAGGAACTTCAAATCATAGCTTCCTGAAATTTGTGTTTCACATGTTTCAACTACATTTTTGTAAAATGATTTTACTCATTATAGAATATTGTTGAAAGGTTTACGAAAAATAATGTACTTCAATCACTTTTTAGGGGACCTGGAACATGTCGTTATGGAGACAAGTGCTTTTTTCGTCATGATGATACAGGACACAAAAATTCAACACATGTAACAAAGAAGCAGCAAACAGATTTGTCTGGTCCATTACCAGGCGATGTTGATGGGGGTGACAAGGACAATAAGTCTGTTGTATCTGGTCCATTGGATTCCTCTGAGGAAGATAAAGAAAATACAGCTACTGGCACTGTTAACAAGGGAGCAAGGTCAAAGAAAGGAAAGCATCATAGAAAATCACCTAAAAGTAAAGAAAAATATCTATCTGTTCAGGTAGGTAAGGATAGAAACTGCCAATAATTTCATCACGCTGACAGACGCACGTTTCGCCTACAAAAGACTTCTCAGTGACGCTCGAATGAAAAAAGTTAAAAAGGCCAAATAAAGTACGAAGTTTACGAACATTGAGGTCCCAAAATTTTGAAATATTTTACCATTAAACTTCTAATCTAGTACTTGTTGAAAAAAAAAGGCTACATAAGTATTACATGGTACTTAATAAAAGCACACATCGACCTAAATTTAAGTCTAAATCATCACTAGCCTTTGTTAAAAAGTTATTATTAAATCAATGAAATATATGTCTGAACATGATCAATATATTCTATAAAGATAGGTAAAAGTGATTAGAGATAATCATCCTAATATCCCTCAGTGGCATTAAAACAATAGCTTGGAGTGCCTGTGTATTACCTTACAATACTTAGTGGCATTTTTATTACTGAAATAGCATTTCAATCAGGAATTAGTAACTGATGACCAAAAAAATGTCATTTAATCCTGTAAAATGTAATAATTTATAGCTACCTCAAGCACCGAAAACCCAGATCAATACACTACTACACATACATGTATGATTAATGAATAAATGTATTCAGAATTGTTCCAACAGGAACTCTTCAAAAACACATATATTATGTTTTAAAAAAGCATTAAAAAAGATGCAAAAATTCTGGAAAGGTGAAAAATATGACAAGGTTTAAATAGATATCTTGTATATTTTAGATAAATAATAAAGTTAAAGATGATAGTACTCCCATAAAATCAGCAAAACAGAAGGTTGATAAAGTAACTGGAGATAGTAATAATAGTGCAATTACTGGCAGCATTGACGAAGCTGATCAGAGTACTGAAAATAAGACACTTACCTGTGGTTAGTACTTGAGATCGCTCTTTTTTTCTACGTCAGATTTCCTCCTGTGACCCAATACACTAATTTTTAACACTCATTTAAGTTTGATGAAAATATCTTAATGCGTTTAATGTCTGATATGGGTAAAGCCATAAAGGTGGTCTGGAAAGTGTGACATTAGGATATAAAATTGAAGTTTTTGATATCTCTATCAATTCACATTATTTTGTTAGCAACCATCTGTATCTTACTACCTCTTTTTATTTGAAACCCATGGTCTTGCTATGTTTTTGTAAAATTGACCTTCCTTGTATATTTTGTGTAAGTTATATTGACAATAGTGCAATCTTTTGTTTTAAATAGTTTCTTATGGAATTAATGAAATGTATCAATATTTAGCTGCACATAATATCTTTCAACATCATTATATCATAGACCAATTCACAGAGATATCCCTGATGTTCTGAAATGTCAGTGCTGAGCAAGATCAGTATGTTATAGATGTCCAAAATAATGTTTTCTTCTAGTAACTTGTGTAAAACGTTTTTTGAACAGCAATTATATTTGTAAACATAATTATTATATTTCAAATGAAATATTTTATGTAGTTGTTGTAAACCCAGATCTTCGTTGACATAATTAAATCCAAATTCAATGTATGTTATTTTGACAATAACCCTTTTTGATAGTTTTTCTGCCTTAATTTTAAAACAGGCTACTCAAAAAACAGGGGGGCAACACTAGCTGATTTTTTAAGTAGGGGAAAACTTATCCAATACAGCTTAATCTTCTAAATGAAGAAGATGACTATTAAATCTTGTATACCATATCTTACATGTAGGTTATATTGACGAATAGTGTTTAAATTTAACCTTTTTCAAAATCATTTTTTTAAAGATTTTTTTTCTACTATTGTCTAGGTAACTGATGGTTATTTTTCATTTTACCAAATTATGATTGAATGCTTATATTGCTCACAACACTACCATCTTTTGGTTGTTATATTGACACAATGTCAAGTAACTTACTGAAAAAAAACAGGAAATCTGGTGTAACATCTGAACACAAAGAGTTTGATCCATTATGTTTATTTTGATATAAACTTAATTCTTGAATGCATGCAGGGGTTCATATTCATTATTGTTCAGCTAATAATGAAGTCACAAGCTCATAACCAAAACTATCTGAGATCTATCAGATCAAAGTGATAACTATAGAATGCAAGAAAAATAAAGGTGCACTAATTCACAAATCCAAAAGGGGGAGGAGAAATCAAGATAAATAACAAGAAAAGAACAAACCTTAAATAACAACTCAAACCCAATTAAACTATCCGGTGCACTGCAAGAGTTAGCTTAGCCTGATGGTAAACAGACACTTAATGAGTTACTCACAGTATTTAGGGGAACATATTGTTTACTGTTGGTACTAAGGAGTATTGTTAATTAGGCTCACTTGAACTGACTTTGTACTTTGGTCAAAGGTTGCTCATTTAATATGTACAGTTATGATACTCTTGGCTGTGTCAGATGGTGACTTTATTGATCAACTGTTTTCAACAATTTTTTTTCAAGAGCTTATTAAATCAACACTTTTGAAAGTAAAGTATAAAACACTTTAATGTATGACAATACTAATAATTAAACCACTATTCAAGAATCAAACCATAAATCATTTATTTAAACAAATTAAAAACATTTTAAAGTTCATTCTGCTGTCTATTCCACTGTTCATACTCAGTTGATTTATCTCAAAGATCTGAAAAGCAATAAATAAAGTTAAAATAGTTTTATACATGATTTTGAATTGAAAAGAATGAAAATGTGAGTCAAGGCTCCATGTTGAAGGCCATAACGTGACCTTATAGGCTATAATTGTTTTTTTTTACTTCTTTAGGTCTTAGGTGGAGAGTTGTTTCTTTGGCAATAATACCACATCTTCTTATGTTTATGATGTTGTATGTTATCCATGTTGAAAACAGCATTGGAAATAAGTACCACTTCACATTGATTTGCATTGTGTCTACATTCATGTTTTTATTGTCGAAATCAAGGGTATGGGGAGGTTGAGTGCTTAAAAACAAACTTTTGGACCATGGTTATATTGACTTGCATCCTTAAGTCGTCAACTTATGCTCTATTTCAAAGAAGCAGGAAATATGCTTACAATTTCACTAAAAGGCTTAATTTTTTTATTGTAGAAGAGATTTGTAGGCTAAAAGCCAAAGTCAACATATTTCAGTAGTAATAGTAGCTTAAGGACTACTGTGGGAGTAGGAGTTATATTGACCCTAACATTAAGGTGTCAACTAACTCTCTTAATGACCATGGTTATATTGACTATGCATATAATTGTCAACTAACACCCTGTGAAAAAGCACTGAAAATTACTACACCCTTTTTAAATGTATATTAACTTTTCCCCTTTGTTATCTGTAAGTTGAAATAGAAGTTAAATGAAAAGAATGGTGCAGTATATCTCTACGAAGATCATCTACATCCTAGGTGTTATATTGACTGGCTTGACAAAATTGGTCAAGAAAAGGTCATATCGATGTTACCGTAAAAAGTGAACGAACGGTTTGACTTCGGTGTTTGAATGCGTTATTTTCATTAGTTCTTATCATTCTAAGCATATTATTTTGGCAAAAATTATATAAAACAGTGTCAATTTGACAGAATGGTTTGGTCGTTATACTTTGTTTGACGCCCTGGTCGTTATTAGTTTGACATTTTGCTCAAAACTTACCATCGAGTTCTTCTTCCATTTTCATCCATGAATGATAGCGATGCTGACATTTAGTTTCGTATATATAGCAATTTTGAAATGAAACAAAGTATTTTTTTCTCCCTGGATAAACTCTTTCCGTCAATAATAAGGAATAAACATTTACGTACGTTTAACGTTATTTTGACATTACAAACTTGCCATTCTATGCTTCTCATAAAACGGAATACGAAACCAAAACTAGAACTATTTGAAACAGCCGAGATACGACGGCGCATGAATATGACAGAAACCAATCAAATGTTCCGCAGATGACGATATCGCGGAAAACCCCGTGCGTTATTTTTACCATTGTAGTCTATTGTCAATATAACATTACTAACCCTGTCGAAATAATCGTTTATTTGATAATTTTACTGCATTTCACGCAAAACTTTGACGGAGTTATAGTGCAACAACACTTTTCTGACGATTTAACTTGCTTTCCGTTTTTCTTTTGCCCATAAAAACAACCAGGTATATTTTTTGTTAGAAGGGGGTTTCCATGTCACGCTTGGGACACAGGAACGTACAGATCTACGTTTGACAAACTTCAATAACAAGACACATTGAATTAGCTGATATTTGATATTTATCAAATCTTCTGCTTCATCATGGCACTGATGCACAATAACAAGTTGTAATCAAATAACATATATTAAATATTTTAAAATTGGGATTTAAGCTTCAGATGGTTATTTGACCAATTTGGAGCACCTTTTTGGCTTTACCCATATACATGTATGTACATTTCTCTAAAGAACTTTAAAAAGTCCTTGACATGAAATAATTTGATGGAAACTTTGTGTCTTTGTTACAGAATCATCTTGTATTTTGGGAATACACCCTATAGCTATTTTTCTGTCATCATATGGTCATTGCAGTACATATCAGAGTGTGTATAAAAAAAGGTCTATTGCCACTGTCTTAAAGTAATCGTTGAATGATTGAGTAGGTTTATCATCAGCAAAAGTTTGGGTGAAAAGGAAATATAAGGCAAAAGTGAGCAGAAGATAGGTAGGATTCAAATAACATGTATATAACAAAGTAAAATATCTTGTAGAACAGAATATTTGTTGTTAAATTGGACATAAACTCTTCTGTTGTTTTAAGTTTACAGTTTGAAGATTGTCACCTTGGTTATTTCATCTATACGTCAATTGATGACCAGTATTTTCAACAATTCTGAATTTTCCAGCTGGACAGCATTTTACCTGAACAAAATTTGAATTTGAAGGGCTGATATCTGGTAGTAAATTATAACACATTCTCATGTTGAGGTGCCTTCATTTAGTTGTGTTTATAGTGCACAGAAATACAATTCGTAATGAGAACCTTAAATGTGATGCCTTTTGTTGGAAGAGTGCCATGCTCTCTGCAAGCAATAGAGATATTGCTGTAATGTTAAGGAAATGTTGGGGGACATTAACATACATCTACCCCATTTTTCCAGTTCGCCCTTCTTCTGTTCTTCTCACTCAGCAAACTAAATAATTGGTTAATTGTTCATTTTGTCTCATCATAAAGTTGTAAAATATTTGCTACTTTGCCCAGCAATTCCCTTTCATTTCTTCTATTTATAAACTTGAGCATTAATATTTTAGGAGAGTGTGGAATTGTGTTGGAAGATGTGCCACTTGAAGACCATGAGCAACTAGATGAACTTGAGAAACATTATAAAGAAAAAGTACTGAAAATGGAGAAACACCACATAAAGTTCCTAGACAAAGATCAACGTTTCAAGTTTCCAACCTCTTGTGGTGTTTGTGCAAAGGACTTTTCTAGGTCTTATGGATTATTGAAACACATTACTGATAAAGTAAAATCGAAGAAAAATGATTGGAAACCACATGAAGAATTCTTAGAATCAGTTTTATCTGGATTGTGGGGTTAGTCTTGTTAGCTATGTAGGCTCATTAGTAAATTCATTGACCAAAATTTTGGTAAAATTATTTCATCTGCAACTTTAAATATTTTTATGCCACAGCATACAATATTTTAAGTGTACTGTAAGAGTGTCGTAATGGGGGTACCTTCATGACGAATAGTGGTAAAAATTCTTGCCAAATGACGTTTTTGGTAATTTTTGGTTCAGGACGATAAAATGTACACTTTCTTTTAGACGATAAAAAAATCAACTAATTTTGACGAATCACGTTAAATTTTTTCCAATAATAACCGTTAACGATAATTTTTTGAGACGATAAGGTTATTTTAACAAATCAAGGTAAAATTTTAACAAATTTGGCGCTAACGGTAGCCGAAAATGACTGTTTGACGCCTGACGGTAAAGGGCATTCCTACCCTCCTGTAAATTCAGAAATTATTGAGTGCATTTATTATTGTGATTTTTGAACATTGGACAAAAATGTGAAATTAAATATTGCAATTTCAGTCAAATCCGCTTACAGGTATATGTAGAATTTTTGTAAGATTTGCAAGTAAAATGAAAATTTTGTTTTATGGTGTTTGGGGTCTTAAAAAGTGCCTTCCATGCCCCCTATGCGTTAAATTCTGAAAAAGCCCTTATCAGATTGATTTGGGGACAGTCAGGGGTACTACTTGTACAAGTAATCTTTATTTACTTGAAGAAGTAAATAAAATATACTTCTATAAGTTAATTATAATGTTTGAATAATCTCCCCTTAATTTTCTAAAAAATTTACTTGTATAAGTAATTTTTTTTTACAATCCCAGAAAAATTCTCATGTTTTGAGATGTAAAAACATGCCTTTAACAATTTTTCTCAGGTAAGCTCATGATTTTTGATTAAAGTTCAATGTTTCGTCTCATTAATTCAACAAAGAAACTGATTGCGCAAAGATCTTAAGTATTTGTGCAAGGCCTTCAAAAATTGCCCCTTGGGGGCTTGTAAATGAGCAGTGTTCTGAAGATAACAGGCAAATGAGATTTTCATTGTCCATGAAATTACACTTACACTACAGACAATTAAAAATTATATTAGAGCAAAGAAGTCCTAAGAATTTAAGAAAAGAAGATAGGATGACTTTTTTACTTGTGTAAGTAAAAAAATCTGAATGTTTAAGGGACATAACTAAGCCGAATTATTTTTTACCTATACAAGTAAATAAAATACACTTGTATAAGTATCCTACAAATTTACCTATATAAATATATTAATATTTACTTCTTCAAGTAAATAAAAATTACTTGTACAAGTAGTACCCCTGGCTGGGAGAGGAAGAGGGTGGACACAAAACAAATCACAGACTTAGTCATTGCTAGAAATATGGAAGTTTGTCAATGCAAAATCTACTTAAGTTTGCATAACATTGAGTTAAACTAACTTCATCCACATTTAGCTGTACAACTTTGATTTCATTTTTTGTTTTATTGATTTTTTGAAGGATTTCCCATATCAGAACATGGACTTTGACCATTTATTCATATGAGAAATTTTGTTGATTCAAATATTGAAATGGTGAGACATATAATTTTTGTGTCAACATGCCTGTCAACCTCTTAAAGAGAAAATGTCTTAACTAAAGTGAAAATGTCTTAACTAAAGAGAAAATGTCTTAACTAAAGAGAAAATGTCTTAACTAAAGAGAAAATGTCTTAACTAAAGAGAAAATGTCTTAACTAAAGTGAAAATGTACATCATGATCTGCATTGAGTAAAAAATTATCTATGAACTTTTTGGGGCTGAAATTAGGTACTGCAAATTTATAAATTATTACCAAGTTTTAAGCTCACTGGGACGGGCCCCATGTGAGCTGATGCCATCACTTGGCGTCTGTCGTCGTCGTTGTATGTTGTCGTCGTCTGTCGTCGTAAACTATTTCAAAAATCTTCTCCTCTGAAACTACTGGGCCAAATACATTCAAACTTTAACTAAATGTTCCTTAGGGTATCTAGTTTATAAATTGTATCCGAAGTATTAATCCATCGACAAACATGGCCGCCATGGCTAAAAATAGAACATAGGGGTCAAATACAGTTTTTGGCTTATATCTCAAAAACTAAAGCTTTAAGAGCAAATCTGACATGGTAAAATTGTTCAATTGGTCAAGATCTATCAGCTCTGAAATTTTCAGACAAATCGAACAACCCATTGTTGGGTTGCTGCCACCGAATTGGTAGTTTTAACAAAATTTTGCAGTTTTTTGTTATTATTTTTAATATTATTATAGATATATATAAACTGTAAGCAGCAATAATGTTCAGCAAAGTAAGATCTACAAAAAAGTTAATGTGACCATAATTGTCAATTGACCCCTTAAGGAGTTATTGCCCTTTAAAGACAATTTTACACAATTTGTTCATCAAGTTTGCTAACATTTAAAAATCTTCTCCTCTGAAATACAGGTGAGCGATTCAGGCTCTTTAGAGCCTCTTGTTATTAATGCGAATAATGCAACTGGGTAAGTATTGAAAAAATAAGAACTCTTATTACGATATCTCAAACATGTAATTGTATAGAACTTTTCCTAATATCTCATTAATAAATGCCTCCAATAATTTCTGAATTGACAGTATTCAGAGATCACATTGATTATGATTTTAAAATATGTTTATTTCTTAAAATACTTTTTTTTTATATGACATGCAAAAAGCGGGTCAAAAATAACATGCACAAAATAATTTTTATCAATTTTTAGTTCCTTTGGATAAAGGATATCAGTGTTAATATTTCTGAATTTACAACAATAAAATAGATTATTTATAAATGTCCTAAAACAGATACAATATATTTCAGAAAGAGACCTTGGTTTGACTGATGAAAAAGAATGTATGGATTGGTTACTGATACATTTAGTAGAATCTTATGAAGGAGAAGATACAGACAGTGATGTTAGTGATGAGGAGGATGGAATGAATGCTTTGTTTGGGTAGGTAACAGTGTAAATGGAATGAATGCTCTGTTTGGGTAGGTAACAGTGTTAATGGAATGTATGCTCTGTTATGTAGGTAACAGAATTAATGGAATGAATGCTCTGTTTGTGTAGGTAACAGTGTTAATGGAATGAATGCTCTGTTTGGGTAGGTAACAGTGATAATGGAATGAATTCTCTGCTTGGGTAGTTAACAGTGAGAATGGAATGAATGCTCTGTTTGGTTAGGTAACTGTGATAATGGAATGAATGCTTTGTTTGGGTAGGTAACGGTGTTAATGGAATGAATGCTCTGTTTGGGTAGGTAACAGTGTTAATGGAATGTATGCTCTGTTATGTAGGTAGCAATGTTAATGGAATGAATGCTCTGTTTGTGTAGGTAACAGTGTTAATGGAATGAATTCTCTGCTTGGGTAGGTAACAGTGATAATGGAATGAATGCTCTGTTTGGTTAGGTAACTGTGATAATGGAATGAATGCTATGCTTGGGTAGGTAACAGTGATAATGGAATGAATGCTCTGTTTTGTTAGGTAACAGTGTTAATGGAATGCATGCTCTGATTGGTAGGTAACAGTGAAAATGGAATGCATGCTCTGTTTGGGTAGGTAAATGTGTTTATGGAATGAATGCTCTGTTTGGGTAGGTAACTGTGTTTATGGAATGAATGCTCTGTTTGGGTAGATAACAGTGTTCATGGAATGAATGCTCTGTTTGGGTAGGTAACTGTGTTCATGGAATGAATGCTCTGTTCAGTTAGGTAATAGTGATAATGGAATGCATGTTCTGTTTGGGTAGGTAACTGTGTTAATGGAATGAATGCTCTGTTTGGGTAGGTAACAGTGTTCATGGAATGAGTGCTCTGTTTGTGTAGGTTTAAACAGTGTTCATGGAATGAATGCTCTGTTTGGTTATGTAACAGTGATGATGGAATGCATGGTCTGTTTGGGTAGGTAACTGTTTTAATGGAATGAATGCTCTATTTGGGTAGGTAACTGTGTTAATGGAATGAATGCTCTGTTTGGGTAGGTACAGTGTTCATGGAATGAATGCTCTGTTTTTGGTTAGGTAACAGTGATAATGGAATGCATGCTCTGTTTGGGTAGGTAACAGTGTAAATGGAATGAATGCCCTGTTTGGGTAGGTAACAGTGTTAATGGAATGAATGCTTTGTTTATTTAGGTAACAGTGTTGAATGAATGAATGCTCTGTTTGGGTAGGTAATAGTATAAATGGAATGAATGCTCTGTTTGGGTAGGTAACTGTGTTAATAGGATGAATGCTCCGTTTGGGTTGGTAACTGTGTTAGTGGAATGAATACTCTGTTTGGGTAGGTAATTGTGTTAATGGAGTTAATGCATTGTTTGGGTAGGTAACTGTGTTAATGGAATTAATGCTTTGTTTTGGTTGGTATTAATGATGATATTTATGGCTTTATTTATAAAATTAAGAAGATGTGGTATGATTGCCAATGAAACAACTTTCCACAAGAGACCAAATGACACAGAAATTAACAATAATAGGTCACTGTACTGCCTTCAACAATGAGAAAAACCCATACGGCATAGTCAGCTATGCTTTGTTTGGATGGTACACAGTGTTTATGGTGATATTTATGACTTAAGTGCTCTGTTTAAATGGCTTACCATGTTTATTGTGAAATTTATGGCTGTAGTGCTCTGTGTGGATGGTTAACTGTTTATGGTGATATTTTTGGCTTTAGTGCTCTGTTTGGGTATGTTACAGTGTTAATGGTGATATTTTTTACTTCTGTGCTCTGTTTGGGTAGGTAACAGTGTTTTTGTCCTGTTATGGAAGGTTGCAGGGTTTATGGTGATATTTATGGCTTTTATGCTCTGTTTTGGTTGGTTGTAGTGTTAAATGTGATATTTATGGTTTTTATCTCGACCTGACAGAGTCAAAAAACGAGACATAGGTACAATGTATGCTGTTTCTGGCGGCGGTGTCAACAATGTATTAGTTTGTGATTATGTCTCGTTTATGGTGAACCACTAGGGTAGGTCAATGATATTTGGTATGCAGTTGTATTAGCATTGGCATATCTCATTTCCATTGAGATTATTTGGCCCCGCTCCCTCAGTCATGGTCTATTGACTTTGAAACTTTTGCTTAGTTTACATGTTGATGATGTATTAGTTTGTGATCAGGTCAGTTCAAAGGGAACCATTAGTGGTAGGCCAATGTTAATTGGTTTGCGTTGTATAAGCATTAGCACATTTCATTTCCATGGAGAATATTTGCCCCCCCCCCCCCCCTCTCAGTCATGGTCTATTGACTTTGAAACTTTTGCTTAGTTTACATGTATTAGTTTGTGATTAGATCAGTTAAAGATGAACCGCTAATGTTAAGTCAATGATATTTGGTATGCAAATTTATTGGCATTTGCAAATTTCGTTTCCATTGAGATTATATAGCCGTACCCCCTTATCATGGTTCATTGACTTTGAAACTTTACAAGTTAATGTTTGTGTTTAGGTTTGTTTAAAGGGGACAAATAATGATGTCAGTGGTATTTGGTATGCAGTTGTGTTAGCATTGGCACATCTCATTTCCATGGAGATTGTGTAGCCCTGTACCTTCAGTCATGATTCATTGACTTTGAATATTTGCATAACTTACATGTTAAAGTATTGCTATTTTAATTTCAACATTTGCATTATCAAAATTACAAAAAGGCGAGACATATCTCTGTGTTAACAGTTTATTATGTTCTGTTTGGGTAGGTAGCATTGTTAATGGGGATATTTATGGCTTTTGTGTCCTGATTGGGTAGGTAGCAGTGTTAATGGTGACATTTATGGATTTTATGCTGTTTCGGTTGGTTGCCGTGTTATTCATGGTAAATGGTGATATGCATGGCTTTTATGTCCTGTTTTGGTAAGTTGCAGTGTTAATGGTGATATTTATGACTTTTATGTCCTATTTTGGTAAGTTGCAGTGTTAATGGTGATATTTATGACTTTTATGTCCTGTTTTGGTAAGTTGCAGTGTTAATGGTGATATTTATGACTTTTATGTCCTGTTTTGATAGGTATTGGTGTTAATGGTGATATTTATGGCTTTTATGTCCTGTTTTGGTAGGTAGCATTGTTAATGGGAATATTTATGACATGTATGTCATGTTTTTTAGCAGTGCTTCAAAGACATTTATGATGCAATAAATGATTATTCTTCAATGTCACAAGTTGAGATGTTTACCTAGATTCAAGGTCTTTAACTAAATAAAAATATGCCTAAACTAGACATTGTATTTTAAATTACTATACAAAGGACCCTAAAAATTAGCAAAACTACCCTAAACACATCAAGTTTAGGTTTACTTGATATTTGTCTTGTAGTTTGCATATTTGTATTGTATTGTGAATTCTTTTGTCTTAGATTTGGCTTTAAATTGTGGTATTCATATGAAATTTCTTTATCTGCCTTTTTGAAAGTTTTTCACTTTTCCATATTTTATTCTAGATTTTGATGGTCTAATTGGGTTGATGTTTCATGCATAACATATTATTATATACATGTACAAATTTATGACTTCAGGTTGATGGCTTTGAGTAAGCATCTTCACGGGGGACCACATTTCCTCCATGATGATGATGACTCCTTAGACTCAGACGATGACTCTCCATACACTGTTAATTATGGTAACCTATGGGGTATGAATGACTATGATATTAATGAGCTGGCATGCCAGGGAATTATGCCATGGGATCCAGAGGCTGGTGCTGCCCTTGCAGTTTTGAATGGAGAAGATAACTATGATTACTTTGGTTAAAAAGGAGATATTTTGTGTTCAGTGTTTATTTAAAATGAGGATTATTATTAATTAATGGTGCTATGATGTCAATTAATGTATAGATTAACCAGGTTTGTTTTAATAACATACCTTACCTACCAATATTTTGGAGCTACAAAGTGGGAGATCTCCCCCCCCCCCCCCCCCCCCCCCCCTTTACAGCTTCACTAAGGGGGCAATGATGCATGATGACCTTATTTATAAAGTATAGTTAGATATAGTTTAACCTTTATCCATCATTCTGTCATTCAGCAACAAACAGTTATACAGTCTTTTTTTTCTAAAAGCCTTCACATATTGAGCTGATTTTTAGTATGTGAGTAAAAATGGCTTAAAGCATTTTTTGCAGAGCAGGGCCGTTCGTGTCATTCTGACACATCTAGTTTCATTCAAAATTTTGTATTAAGATGCAAAGTATTTTAACATTTAAGATCATTTTAAGGAAAACATTTAAATATCTATGCATGGATTTAAATACCGGTAGCTATATAGTTATTTATTAAAACAACATTTTTGATGAGCTCGGATGTCTTTTTACTATGAAAAGTAGAATTATTTTTGCAATACAGTGAAAATGAACAATAGAAAATACTATCAAAACAACTCAATGATGAAAGGGGGTATTAACAGAGTGATTTTTTTTTTTCAAAGATAGATTTTGACCACCCTCAGGTGACAGGTCCAAAAGGGAAGGTTTCAATTTTTTAAAGGAAAAAGAGGGAATTTCCCTTGTAGAACTGTTGTATTGGCAATTATGACATTCAGCAATGAGTCTATTCCACTTTTTAGCAGCTTTCTTTTATTGTCAGTTGGATTTTTCTATTATGATAAGTCAATGTGAGTTTTTGGCATCTCACGGTATAATCTATTTTCAGATCTGATGGGCAGTCATGATCACTCCACATATATTTGACAATACATTGTACTTTAAATTCTATTATTATGCATGTTATACCAACTATTATAAATTACAGAATTTTTTGTAACATTTTACTTAGCTTCTTTATTCAGGATCGATTTGATTTAGTTGTGAACTACTGAGCATGGAAATTTTGTCAATGTCAAATAAACATGTGGTATAATTTGCTGGACAAAATAATTTTTAATGTGAAGTTTATAAATAGACCAATATTTTGAAGGTTGTCTTATGAAAGTATTGATTTATGTTATTTTGATGGATAGAACATGTTCACTGCAGCTGAGGTGAATTTTGTCATTTCCAGTCAACATGATGGGGTTAAGGCACAGGGAAGGTAAAATTTCTTGATTGTTCCCTGTGTTCTCTGTATGGAGTGGATACCCCATTTTTTTCAATCATTAGAATTGAGATGTACACTACCTTGGAAAATGAGAAATTCTTTTTATATACAATATTTTTATGAAATCTAATGTTAGATTTGAGTAAACAAGAGTGATAAATACCTCTCAAATTCTAGTGTTAAATTTGATTTGGCAAGAGTGGGCTGTCCCACAGTAATGACAAACCAACTGAACTGTTGTGTTCATGATGCATGTTTCATTCTCACTCAGGGCAAGATGATTATTTAAAATTTGAGTTGATTGACATCTTATTGTATATATAGTTATGAAATATTGTATAAAATTACAAATAAACTATTCTGTGGTTAATTGTTATTTAAAAAAATAGTTATGTCTTCCTTTGAATTTTTTTTTTACTCTTTTTTTTTTTTTTCCTTGAAAAAAATACACCTTTTTTTTTTTTCATGAAAAAAAAAACACTGTTCAAAACTTTTTTTTTTACTGTGGGTAGTGTTTATATATGCCTATGAAAGACCAACATATACTTGTATACTATTTTCCTTCTAGCTGTACCTTGATTTATCCTACTGTCCTCTATTCATTCATGAAAACTAACGTTGGCTTTGCCCAGTCCTTAGTAATTTTTTACACAATGTTATGTTCTATGAAGACAAAATCTATAAAATATATAGGCTGAAATGTTGTCTTCTTACCATAACCATTATCTGTATTGTACGTTAAGCAAAAGATAACTGTTCTATCAGATCCTTGAAATATTATGAAGAGTTCACATGGCCTTGTACTTTTTGTCTCGCCTTTGACGAAATTTCACAGAACACAAGACAAAGGGATCCTTATCCAGCAGTGTAAACTATTTGTATAAAGCGTTATCTTTCAGAGGGTAAAAGACCTGGTTACATCATACCTTGAATATATAGTGGGGGCGGAAGGACCTTTTTTGGATGTTGGGATTGGGCCTTTATTTTTGCTGGAATTTGGGATTTACATTAAATGGGACTTGGGAATGGATGATTCAATTTTTTGGAATTCTCCATTCTGTTTATTTTTGCGGGAATTCAGGATTCAGTTTTTATTTTTGAGAGAAATTGGGTGGACACCCCTCCTACCCCCTGTATACAGTTGCTTTATGTTCTGAAGTTTCCTTCTGTCATATGTCAACTGCCTTTGTGGTCTCATGGCAGAGTGCTAGCCTAAAGTGCAGGTCATGGGTTCAATCTTATGGCTGGATCAAACCAGACTAAAATTGGTATTTACTGCTTCTCTTCTAAGCACATGGCATTAAGGAGGAAGAGCGAAACTGGTCATCCGGCAATCAGAATATTGTGTAATGTGACACATCTTCATGTGGACTGATGCCTAATGAACTACTTATAGCACTTTAATAAAACACAAAGCAGTGTTCATTTTCATATCACATCAACATTTTCTCTTCCTGAATTTGCATTTAATTTGGTACTGGATGTCAAACAACCAGTCATCCATTCATCTGTCCATTGTCCTTGACCTCATTTTCATGGTTCAGCAACTGCTTGAAAAATACATAGTTTATTATTAGTTTTTTATCAAGTGAATTTCTCAGTTATTATGAGCAATTTGATAACTATATTTGGTATAAATGGGATCCTTGCTTGTTCTTATAGACTGTCGGAGGATTCACCACATCTCGGATACTACAAGCAATAGATCAACTATATTTGACTGTCTCGGTGGTCTGATGAAAGTGTGTTCGCCTCGAGTGCTGGAGGTTATGGGTTCAAACCCCAGCCTGGACAAACCAAGGACTTTAAAATTGGTATTTGCTGCTTCTCCGCTGAGCACGTGGCATTAAGTAGTAAAAGCAAAGACTGGTCGGCCCAGTTTCAGAATAATGTGTCCTGGGAAGGTGACGTGTCTTCTTGTGGACTGTTACCTTGTGAACTAGCACGTTAAAAATCCGTCTCAGCGTGACGGTCTAGTACAAAGCAGGGTTAATATTCATATAACATTAACATGTTCTTTTCCTGAATATGCATATTAATTTTCCGCTGGACATTAAGCAGCCATCCTTCTTCAACTATATTTAGTGTATGGAATGGTTGTATGTTGTACATGTCGACCTGGCAGTGTTAATCTAACCTTGACCTCATTTTCTTGGTTGATTGGTCAAAGTGTTCATTTTTCAGATACTATAGGAAATATGTCAACTATATTTTGTGTATTGAATGATTGATTGTAAGGTGAAGATGTCCGTCAGCTGGTAGGGTTCTTCTAACCTTGACCTCATTTTTGTGGTATATTGAAAAGCTTGTTTTTTTATAGTCGTTTCTCAGTAATAGGTGTTTGTATTGTGGTTGCTAATCATTTTAAAGAACCCATGTCTATTTTGACATTTCAGCTGACCATGACCTCCTTTTCATGGTTTATTAATCCTTTTTTAGCTATTGTTGTTGGTATGAACTCACTGTTATTAGTAATAAGTCAACATGTATTAAAACTTTGATCTTGATGACTTTCATTCATAATCAATAAGCAGGATATTGAGTATGTCTTGTTATGACTTTATCTTATGCTAATAATGAAACTTGGGTGTTTAAAGAAATGGACATTTTTCAAGTCTGATGATAACTGTAAAGATAAGATGTGGCATGGTTGCCAATGAGACAACTCTCTACCAGAGACCATTTGATTTGTTTTGGTTTTAGTTTGATATTTGACTTTTATACACAGTACTTGTCATTGTATGCACTCAAAGATGGAAAGACATGTTATGCAAGACGGACATTTAATACACCAAATATGTATTTGTAGTGCTCCATCACTGATTGCCATTAAAAAAATTATAATTTCCAAGAATAAATGTATTTCTCCCTGGATAAACTTTTAATCTAACTTGCTATCAAACCATCATTTGGTTAATATAAAAAGGAGGATATACAATGAGAATGCATTGTTTTAAAGTCGGGATTTTTTTACTGGTTTTCCTTAAAAATAAGAGCAAATTGTAATCAATGGTCTGAAAGACTTGTCATTTTGAGGAATTTATGTCCCTTGGATTTGGTAAATTTTATGAAACTTTTATGAACAATTTTTGTCTAGCCTAAAAGAGGGACGAAAGACCAGAGGGACAGTCAAACTCATAGATCGAAAACAAACTGACAATGCCATGGCCAAAAATAAAAAGACAAACAGACAAATAATAGTACAGATGACACAACATAGAAAACTAAAGACTAAGCAACACGAACCCCACCAAAAACTGGGGGTGATCTCAGGTGCTCCGGAAGGGTAAGCAGATCCTGCTCCAAATTTCGCGAAAGCGATCCTAGATTTCGGCGTCAACATTTAGGTTCAGTCTGTGGTTAAAAGTTTTTTTTAGACACCAATAACTTTATCAAACCTTCATGGAATTTTATGAAATTTGGACAGAAGCTTGTTTTTGACCAAAATACAGTATCCAGAGCAAAATTTTGAAAATATTTTTCATTTTTCTGTATTTTACTGATAACTTGACTTATTTTTTTTTACAGTTATCATTCAGATTCAGTCTGAGGTTAAAGTTTTTCTGTCATCAATAACTTTGTCAAACCTTCATGGAATTTTATAAAATTTGGACAGAAGCTTGTTAATGACCAAAATACAGTATCCAGAGCAAAATTTTGAAAATATTTATTTTCATTTTTCAATATTTTAATGATAAATAAACTTAGTTTATTTTACAGTTAACAAGTAGATACAGTGTGGGGTTAGTTTGTTACACATCAAATACTTTGTCAAACCTTCATAGAATTTTATGAAACTTTGGCAGAAGCTTTTTTATGATTAAGAGATAATGTCTGATGCAAATTTAAGAAAATATATTTTCATTTTCAGTATTTTTCTGATAAATTGACTAATTAATTTTTTACATTAAATATTTACAGACAGTCTGAGATTAAATTTTTTTGACATAAGTTTGTAAACCTTCATGGATTGTTATGAAACTTAGACAGAAGCTAATCTTCAAGACAAAGAAATAGCATCTAAAGAAAAAAGTTTGAATTTTAAAAAAAATTCTGTATTTTACTGATAAATAGACTGACTTTTTAAGTCAACATTACACTTTTACACTGACCGCAGCAATCATAGGTGAGACACAGGGTTCTGCGGAACCCCTTATGAATATTTTATTGTAATGCTTGAAGATCTGGAGCTGATTTATGGTTCAAAGGAATCTATGCACTGCTAACACTACTGCATTTTCTTTAAAAAAAATCTTTGCACCCTTGCACAGAGAGGAAAACATAATGGTCCCCCAACTTTCATAGACATGGCATAAATTAATACATAATGAATTTTTTAGTTTCACAATATATTTTGCTGCAGGTAGAGCATTCACATCATATTGACAAATCTAGTTTATATATGATTGATTGGTGTTTAACGCCACTTTCAGTACTATTGTGCTATTTTGTGGCTGTCAGTTTTTATTGGTGGAGGAAGCTGGAGTGCCCGCAGAGAACCATGACCTTCGGTAGGCAAACTGACAATCCTAGTCAATTAAGATTGGAGTTGAACGAACCTGCCACGTGCGGGATTCAAACTCACAACTTCAGTGTTGACAGGCTAGTGATACAGTAGTTCAACTACCTGGACCACTCTGCCACTAAGGCCCCTCTAGTTTACATAACATTCTAGCACATCTGTTAAGTTTTAAGTTCATGACATATAATTCAAAAGCTGCTCCTTTAGAAAAGATTACTTAAAAATAAAAGAAAGAAAAAAAAACACAAAAAATTATATACTTTCTGCACATTTTCCCAGTATTTTGACAGTTATAAAAGATTATTTTGAATTAAAAGTGATACGTATAAGTCAATGAGACTGCAACAGACATAACAGTCTTCAAAAATAGAAAGGTGTCTTTACGAATTAGCAAGCTCTAAAAAGTCCAGAATCTAAAAACAGTAATGTTTAGGCATAAATAAAAGATATATAAAGATCAAGCATATTTATTTCACCATTAACAACACATTCAAACAACAAATAACATCATTCACTATCAGAAATACTACATTTTTACTATAAGGTGTACTAACTATATGGGCAGGAATTACCTTTAACATCAAGAGTCAATTGTGGCCTTTTGGATACAGTAAAAATAATTTTTTTTATGGTCAATTGTCACATCTGTCTATACAGATTTCTGGTAGACTGGAATCAGTGTAGACAGATTTAAGGTATATTGGGTTCAGTCTCATCTTCGCTAGCCAAGGGTTACGATCCACTTCCCTCCTCTCCACCCTTGGCAGATTGAGATAGAATTTCGGAGACACAAGGTAATGATTTTCATTGGTTGCAGTCAAAACTTGCTGCATCCAATCAAAAAACGCCTATAACATGATCACGTGTAAATGTAGAAAGTGTATGTAAACAATTGCCACGTGCTTATTGTGCAACAAGTCTTTACATCCCTAAACATGCGACTATATTTAGTGACATTTGAATGTTTTTAATCAATTAATAGAAGTTCCTGTATATGTTTCTTGCACAAATGCATGAATGTCAACGTATATTTCGTTTCCTGCTTTACCAAGTGTGTAGAATCTAGACGCTCCCGTGTTTTTACCTCCAAATTGAAGAGTTCATGTGCTACCATTGGTCAAGAATAATGTATTCGGAATGGGCGTGACTTTAATCTACCGATAGATGGCGCAACATTGTTATCACAAATGTTGGCTTAATCTGCCAAGGGTGGAGAGGAGGAAAGTGGCTTGTAACCCTTGGCTAGCGAAGATGGTTCAGTCTAGACAGATTTCACTGTTTTTGATTGTATCTCTTAAAATCTCAATTTCTGATTTGACTAGTATTGTAACCTTTGACTGAACTTCAAATAGTAGAAGGAGTGATTAATATGACATCGATCTATAAATATTTACTTTTTAATTATCTCTTTATGAAAAAATACTAATATCTTTTGTTATTTCAGTCCTGGAAAAGTATGAAGCACATAGGACTGAATTCTATATTGATAAGTAAAGATCAACAACATTGGACAACATTTATACAATTTTCACAGACAAAATTACTTGTTAAACTTTCTAAGAAATTCATAGTACCTTTTCAGAATTTATTTTACATAATATGTCCAAATGACAAATAGGTCAATTAATAAATTTATAAAAAAAAAATTTTAATCAAAAGTTGCTTCAACTATTCGAATTCATGTACTATCTGTAGGTCTACGTTTTATTGAAACGAGGTGTATTTTCTATTGGATAGTATACATACTTAATGATATCCTTACTAGTTTTCATATGGGAAGTATTAGTAAGCAAAAAAACCCTTACAAATTAATAAGATTAGTGTTTTTACAGTATTAGTAAGCAATAATCCATACACACTCATGAAAGATCTAATCTTTGAGGTAGACTAAGGATTTCTTCAAATCTTTGTTACAGCAGCTCTTATCAAACAGTATGCATATGTTCTTATCACTGGTAACATGTTTTATTTTTAATTAAAAAAAAAATGTCCACTAAGATATCCTTTGGTAAAATTATAAAAGAGAAAGTCATCTTTTAACAAATTTTTTTGCAGCTCTACTGTCAAATAGTGTTGCATTACAATAATGTTTATTATGCATTCTGAATGTTAGTGTATATACATACATGTTCTTAGTGAATACATATCGGTTATATCATGTACAGGTATATTAATTATTTTAAGTAAATATAGATTCTACCAGAGAGTAAAAGGAAGTGTGATAAGAGATATTATTTGGCCCCTAAAATGTCAAAAATACTAAACTTAATCAAGTCTTTCAAAATTATGTTAATTTTATTGATAAATGAACAAGTTTATATAATCTGGACACTTTAATGCAGAAGATCGCTTGTAATTATGTGACTTTTACATCATAAAGATGTAGCAATTTACAAATTTGATCTAATTTTATATATAGTTTTTTGGCCAATATATATAAGAGCAACAGCTTTACCCAATTTACACACTTTAACATCATGTAAAATACATTTCATAGCAAACTATCTTTTTGAGTAAAGCTGTTGCTCATATCTAAATACACCTTATCGCTATTTGGAAATCTGTGCCGGTTGACCTGGTAATCTGCGCTGCTTGAACTTTTGACGTCATACAACAATCACTTTTCCATTGTGGCGTCAAGATATTTTCTATTGTGACGTCAAAATTTTACAGGAACCTTTGTGATGTCCAGTAATGGAGGACAAATAGCGATAAGGTGTAAAGCAATGACAAGGCTATTTTGATAGGCTTTTTTCTTTGCACTAAATGTAAGAAGTTTGAAGCCCTGATACCAATACTTATGTCTTATCAACATCTGAAGGGTGTTATTTGATAGATTTATAAAACTTTTTTATTTTCGAAATTCATGAGGCAAAATAAGTGGCATTATTATACTTCTTTTCAAATGTTTCAAATTGTTTTATCAGATGTTACTATCACTCAAGGAAACCTTACAAAGACCTAAAGTACTCCGGTATTTCTAAATCACAGTTATTACATTATTCAACAATATCAATAAAGAACATCTACTTGGCTACTTTGTTGGTGCCAAAGTGATTCAAGATTGAAAAATTTCACTCAATTCATAAAATGAGTACTTCAAAAACTGTAAATTTCCTTTTTCAAAATACCATACATAAACACAATTGTCAAATACTAATTCAAACTATGACATAACTTTTTTTACCTTTCGTTCATAAACTCAATTTTTCACTGACACATATGATATAAAAGATTATAATAACACTTAAACACAACCACAAACTCTATATGTAAACAGTAATAATTTAGAGATAATTATTTACAACAACAAATAATTAAAAGAATAACAAATTGAGATTCAGTGTTAATCACATGATACTGATTGAGTCACATGATACCAATTAATATTAATCACCAAATAATGATTGAATCACATGATACTGATTGAATCACATGATACAAATGTTAATCGCATGAAAGTGACAGACAGCTGAAATCTACAAGTACTACTAAAATGTATATGTTGAAAATATTTTGCATCCTTTTGTCGAAAGATTTTAACATGAGCATTAGCCCACGGTCAAGCAAAACTGTGGTATGATTGGGTCTCTGTATCTGTCCAAAAGCTCTCTTAAAGAAATAAAATCTGAGTACAGAAAGCTAGAAATTATCTCCTGATAGATAGGATACTGAGGTATATAATATCAAAGTGGAAATTTACAGAGTTAAATTAGAAAAATCTGTTAAGTTATAATCATTATAATGAAATTTTGTATATAAAAGGCTCCCCATTCTTGTATCATTTTGTTGGTGTGAAAAATACTTGAATTTGATTGGTGACATCTTAATAGTACAAAATGGGTAATTTGCCCCAAGAAATTATTTATTTAATAACAGTCCTTGTGTGTAAAGTAATACAGTAAGTTATTATGCTTTATCTGATCTCAATAAATAAAAAGTGTATATTTCAAATAAATAAAAATTTATAGAAAGAAAGACCAGATACTTGAAACTGAGAGAAAAAACTTAAAATAACCAAAAGCAAATGCTGAACAAATGTCAACGTTTTAATATCTGCACACAATTTCAGTCCAACGATTGCATGTCCACGAATTATTTTGGTATACATTAAGCTATTAAAGCTGTAATGGTTTGGTGGGATGTTTTAATCTTCAACACTGTATTGGCTAAGGTCTTCAAATGTGAATGGTTGGAACTTCTCACCTTCTCCTTTGTAAAACTTGGATTGAAACTCAACCCTGAAATAGTTAAATTAATTTGTACATGTATTGTAAATGATTGGATCCTTTGTTAAAGAAGTAGGAACAATAAGTCCTGTTTTTGGTCGATAAAAATGAAGTTTTGAATATTTATAATATAGGGAAATGCATAAAATTAAGAATATAATTAAATTGATCAAGATTTTCAAACTCATGACATCATAATATATATCTAACCTGGGGTAATTTCACTTAATGAACAAATATGTTAATTTTATGCATTCCATCCACATGAAAACATCTTACACAATGAAGAAATAACAAAATTGTATAGCTATATGCATAATCTCACCAAAAATAAAGTTTTTTCTTGAAATAAAAAAAACACAAGAGTGCACACGCTGAAATGTATCGCCTTCTTTACTAATCATTGATATTAAGTTTATAGTCCTAAATATAAAGCTTTATTACAACTGTCACATAAACTTAACATTAACCAAGTAAACTAAACATTGACCAATGAACCATGAAAATGAGGTCAAGGTCAGATGAACCATGCTAGGCAGGCATGTACAGCTAACAATTCTTCCATACAACAAATATAGTTGACCTATTGCTTATAGTTTAAGAAAAACAGACCAAAACACCAAAAACTGAACACTGAGCAATGAACCTTGAAAATGAGGTCAAGGTCAAATAAAACCTGCGTGACTGACATATAGATCATAAAATATTTCCATACACCAAAAATAGTTGAACTTTTGCATATAGTATTAGAAAAAAAGACCAAAACTCAAAAACTTAACTTTGACCACTGAACCATGAAAATGAGGTCAAGGTCAGATGACACCTGCCAGTTGGACATGTACACCTTACAGTCCTTCCATACACCGAATATACTAGACCTATTGCTTATAGTATCTGAGACATGGACTTGACCACCAAAACTTAACCTTGTTCACTGATCCATGAAATGAGGTCGAGGTCAAGTGAAAACTGTATGACAGGCATGAGGATCTTGCAAGGTACGCACATACCAAATATAGTTATCCTATTACTTATAATAAGAGAGAATTTAACATTCCAAAAAAATCTTAACTTTTTTTTCAAGTAGTCACTGAACCATGAAAATGAGGTCAAGGACATTGGACATGTGACTGACGGAAACTTTGTAACATGAGGCATCCATATACAAAGTATGAAGCATCCAGGTCTTCCACCTTCTAAAATATGAAGCTTTTAAGAAGTTAGCTAACCCCGCCGCCGCCGGATCACTATCCCTATGTCGAGCTTTCTGCGACAAAAGTCGCAGGCTCAACAAAAAATCAAGATATTTAACAAAACATACAATTTTGTCATGGCAACTGGGCCTTATTGTCCCCACTTCTTTCGATTGAAATTCAAACTTGAAGTAATGCAAGGAACATGTTATTTTATTTTATGAGGGTACTTTTTTCATGGGCTAAGAAAATTTGTTCTTTAAACTTATGACTGAGAACATTCCTGAGTAAGTACAGAAAGCTCTTCCAGTACAGAAAATTAACACATTCCACTTATGTCTATATTACTCTTCTTCGTTGAATACATGATCCAATCTGATTAAAATACAGATCATTTGTCCATGCTTTGCTTACACTGACCTGACAACACACCATTCTTATATCTATTCTGGTAATTGTTACATCAGCCAATGAAATTCCTGCCTAAAATTTTTTTAAAGTGTGTATTATTATGACAAAACCAGAGGATCCTGAAGGTCTTTAGAACAGAAAGTATATAGGAGCATTATCAGCTAAGCGTGGACACATAATCTGTATTTTAATCAGATTGGTACACAATAACAAGGTACTTCTCTTTGAAAAGTGGAATTTTATGAATACTAACTGCATTTGATTTTTTGGTTTTTGGTTTTTGTCATACACTAATATGCAATTTTTGCATAAAGATAAGAAAAATATATACCTCAATATAAGTACAAAACAGTTATCATTGAGCTAAAAATGAAGTTAGGGGGACTTATAAACAAGGTACCATCTCTTAGAAATAATTCTGAAGGACAATATGCATAGAGGGGGTCATCTACATTAAGCTATAATAGGTTTAGTAGTCTCAGGGAAGAAATATCTTATTAAGTATGTAAGAAGTGCAATCAGACCCTCTTCATTATATAAAGCTACTAATAGAAGATTCTATCTATGCAAACTTTGCATTTAAAGTGTACAATTTATATTGTTAAGTGTGGGAAAAAAGAGAAGAAAAAATAAGAATTTTAATATTTGCAAAAGAATCTGTTTGTCTTGGATGTTTTTACTCAGATCTTTAAAAAAATAAATTTGGATGATGATGCCCCCGCTTGCATATCATATAGTTATAAAGGGACATAACTGAAGAAAGGTAAAAGTGACGCTACCCAAATTTGAACTTGATCTGAGTTTTGTGGTAATAAGCATTGTGTGTAAGTCTCATAAAATTTGGTTGAGGCTAACTTAAGTAGAGAACAGAAACTAAAAATTCAGCAATTTTTTCTACTTGTAAACACGCATAACTCTAGAACGGTTGTGAATAAGTTTTATAACATTTGGTTGAGACAAACTAAAGTTAGAGAACGGAAACAAAAAATTCAGCAATTTTTATGTTTATAAAGGGACATAACTCAAGAATGGTAAAAGTGACACCACCAAATTTCGTAATTAATCTGTATTATGTAGTAATAAGCATTGTGTATAAGTTTCATAACATTTGGTTGAGGCAAACTTAAGTAAGAGAACGGAACAAAACAATTGTACATTATCTTAGTTTTAAGGTAATGAATATTGTGTATAGGTTTCATAATGTTTGGTTGGGGCAAACTTAAGTTACAGAATGGAAACTAAAAATTTTGCAATTTTTCGATTTATAAAGGGGCATAACTCAATAATGGTTAAAGTGACACTACCCAAATTCAACTTGATCTGTGTTTTATCAGTGGAAGGCAAAATTAAACATTGCATTGTATAAAGCATTGATTGTAGTTGATTCAACTATAATCATGGACAAAGGAAGATAACTCTCATTTTAAAAATTACTTGAATAATGACATTGATATTTTTAGAAATTACATTTAGTTAAGACAAACTCAAATTAGAGAACGGAAACGAAAAATAAAGCAATTTTTTCATTTGTAAAGGGGCATAACCCTAGAACGGTAATCAAAGTGCTTGTAAGCACTGAATGGTAAAGATTGCTTTAATTTATCAGAAGGAAGTAAAATTGAATATTGCATTGTATAAAGCATTGGTTGTAGTTGATTCAACTACCATTATGCACAAAGAAGGATAACTCCAATTTTCAAAGAAGACTTTAAAATATTTTTAGAAATGAAGGGTAAAAATTGCTTTAATTTATCAGTGGAAGGCAAAATTAAACATTGCATTGTATAAAGCATTGATTGTAGTTGATTCAACTATAATCATGGACAAAGGAAGATAACTCCAATTTTAAAAATAACTTGATATTTAGAAAAAAAAAAGAAAAATTTAACAATTTTTCCATTTATAAAGGGCATAACTCTAGAACAGTAAAAGTGACGGCACTAAAATTCAGACTTGATCTGTATATTGTGGTAATAAGCATTGTGTATAAGTTTCATAACATTTGGTTGAGGCAAACTAAAATTAGAGAACGGAAACCAACTTTGGGACGTACGGACGTACAGACGGACAAGGGTAAAACTTATGGCGGGGGCATAAAAAGAACAAGATAACCTACCAATGCAATCTAATGGTGTGCAGGAAAGCAGACATCCCTTCCATCATTACCAGGACTACTACAGTTGCTCCTGCCCAGAATGCAAACAAGGGTACCAGTAAAAATACACCAATTGGAAATGCAAAATTCAGTCCGATTCGCATCACCATGGACCATAGCACTTCTGATAGCTCTAAAAAAAAATAAGAAGAAATTGAGTTCAACATCGTTTCAATACCTCATATTTTTGATAATACAACAACATGTACTGAAAAACTTTAACAAAGGGTAATCCCAAAACAATTTAATATGATGATTGTAAATTATGCATTTTCCCCCATCATTTATTAATTGAGCTTGTATTTCAAATTCCAGATCCTACAAGTTATAGGTGTAGGCTACAACTGAAAATATAAGGTTGAATGTGACCTACCGAATTAGACTTATCACCAGGTTTGTAATTACATGAGCAACATGACGGGTGCCACATGCTTACGGTACCCTTCTGGAACATCTGAGATCACCCCAGATTTTTGGTTGGGTTCTTGATGCATAGTCTTTATTTTTTATGTTGTGTCTTGTAGACTTGTTTGTCTTTTGGTCATTGTTTGACATGGCATTATCAGTATGTTTTTGACTTTTTAACTACTGTGGATTCATTATTATTCGAAGGATACCAGTTTTAGTGGGTATAGGTGAACCAAGAATTAAAATGTTCAACGAATTACCAATTTTCTATAGGCTTGTATGCAGACTGTGGCAAAACCACAACATCAAATATGTACAAAAATGCAAGTTTTCCTCAATCGACAAATATAAGTACCAAAGAAAATAAATAGATCCATAGAATCCCTTTGATATCTTCCACCTCTCTTTTTGAGATACAGATTCAATCATTTTCCAAAAGTGTATACAAAAGTATTACTACACTTTTGAAACAGAATTAAGATATATACATATTCATTTATGTACTTACGGGCATGAGCAAGACTAAGGGCCCACAATCGTAGATACGATGCAGTATGGGAAATACATCCTAGACAATACTCAATGGTATGAATAGACTGATGGATAAACGTATTGCCAAAATCAAACTCCTGGAAATAAAAAATACAAAGATTTCAAGTATGTAAAAATAAATACAAAAATCACTTTACTTTATCAATTTTTACTTATCTGACACACATATGCACACTTAAAAATGTGAGGCAAGACACATGCTACAAGAGATATTTTATTTTCATATATTATTTACGATAAATTCAAATAAAATCAATTGAATTTAATAATTTTGTTGCCAAAATGTAGTTTATATTATACTTTTTTCAAAAATTTACTTAAAAGTATGGATTGCAAGGCTTTTTTTTTTCAAAATTGTCAGATTCTTTAAGGATTATACATGGAAAACCAATTTTGTGTAAGAATGAATGAAAACTAAACAACAGAATTTTAAAACTAAAATATGAGAATTTAGCTATTATAATGTGCTTTCAGAAAATAAAAAGGAACATTTGGATCACTAAACTTAGTTTTTTTGCTACAAAACAAAATAGATCAATTTCCTATACATTCCATTATAAACTAAAATTATCTCTGACAGTTATATGGGTAAGTTCAAATTTTTTTTTTCATCAAACAAAAAATATTCCGACTTCCTTGATACAGTCGTAATAATGCATTAATAAAAGGAGTCACATCAATCAGACAACAGCAAGGCAGAGACACACAAAAAAAGCAAAGCCAACTTCAATCATTCAAAAGAATGATAAAAATGCAAATTCATTAAATATTACCTTACATTGTGAATAGTAATAAAAAAATCTGATGTAAGAAACAAGTTGAAGAAAATTCACAATATACAAGTTATCAACCATCAAAATTAACTTTGTCAACATAAAACCAAACTAATTAATACTTCATTTTTTATGTCTATTTTGTTGACTTCTGTTGTTGGGTATCTTTTTTACTGTCAGATATTTTCCTTTTTAATTTCAAACAATTTTTGCAATGACTCAAGAATAACAACTGTTTAGTTACCAGCAGTTTCATATGCTATGTTTTAGTTATGATCTTTTGTCTTTTGCTCAAGCAGTGAGGTGAGAAGCTGGGTAATAGTGTTGGGTTGTGTTAAAGGGTCAGTTAACATAAATTATTAATAACATTAATTTTTTTTTAACAACAGGGCAATAAAATGCATCAGAAAAGGTTTGTTTAAAATTTCATATATATATATATATATATATCTCATAACAAACAAACAAACAACATCAAACTAGGGTTTCAGTAAGAAAAATAGTGAATGACCAACAATAATGAAAAGGATTTTTTTTTCTCAAAAATGTTTATAACAGGTTAGTCAACTGTTGAAATATATTAATTAAGTAGATAATTATTTTTCTATTACCTAGAAACAAGCAAAATGTCAATTACATGCCTCGGTGAACTCATCACCACCTCAAGAGCAGGAGGTCATTTGCTTTAACCCCAATGCCTGGTCAAACAAAATACTTGAAAATCAGCATTTGCTGTGTCTAACTTCTAGTTACTTGATTCTTGTCAATTAGAACAAAAAGCATATGTCTGCATTTATGTTGTTTTTCAAAATGATGGCAAGACAGAATTTTCACGTCATTTAAAGGTAATAACATAAAAAATTTAAAAATATTTTACTATCCAACTGGTTTGTTTTGTTTTCAATCATCACTTTTTGGTAACAGATCATTCTTTCATAAAAGACAGGTACATTCTGAAGAGCATTTTTTTAAACATTTTTCAAGCATTAAAATATGTCAAAATGCATTCTTATCAATTATTTCATAAAACATAAAGCAAAAATATCCAAGGACAAAAGTAAATCTCTTAATCATTTGTGTTAATGCATAGTTGATTCCGTACATGCCCCAATTTATTTTTTTTTGTTAAATCATGCTTCCCTTAAATCTAGCTGTAAGCAAAATAAATAAAGGCTTGCTTAGTTAAAAAAATATAAAAAATTCTGTGTTCTTTCAAGAAGGCTTACATGATAAGACAAATAGTGAAACAAACTTCGTGCAGACTGAAAATGAAACAATCTAGCTATGCAACATTGTAAAACTATAGGTATGCATCATTGTAAAACTATAGATATACAACATCAAATCACCTCCTCAGGTACAGCAGGCGTCAACAGGTCACCGTCACCGTGGTGATTGACTTCAGGGTCATGACCCAGCACATCCCCGCTATTTACTGAAAGCTGATGATGCTTGAACTGAGATTTGAAAATAAGAAAAAAATATTCTGTATGAAATCAGCTGATTGTTTCAAGCAAATTTATAAATACAAAGTTTGGTTCCATGGTTTATACAAGGATTTTTTAATATGAATAAATAATAAAAGAATAATGTGTCTGAGGATACAAATGCCCCCGCTCAAACTTCAAACAAAGGAAAATGGGACGGACGGACGGTCAAGGGTAATACTTGGTGCCCCAGTCGCCTACGGCGGGGGCATAAAAAACCATAACGTATCTGATGGCATACTTTTGTTACAAGTTCAATTATCCCCTTTCCCTTTTTTCTACAATTTTTACAATTTTATGTAAATTGTCCTATTGTACATTGCCATGGAAACAAACTACCAACACAAATTTCAGGAAACTTAGAAGATATTTCTAAACTAATTCTTATCTTCTAAATTTCCCTCCAAATCCTGAAGTTAAAAATAAACATGATGAAATCATGTAATCACCTCTTCCTCATTGTCATCCGTGTGTTTTGTGTCAAATTCATCGTGGTAAATAACATCCTCATGTTCGTTGTCAATATCAATTAAGTTACCATTTTGTGTCGCAACAGGTCTGTACCGATACTGTAATACATTGTGTGTTAAAATGCAAAAATGTACAATTTTTAACTATTCTAGCTGTTTTGTAAGATTAATAAATGTTTCTGTTTTTTTATTATTTCTTGTTTTTTTAACACTGTTAACTTTTATACAATTTAAAATCTATTTTATTTTATGGTAAATTTCTGGTATCTTGCAAGCTATTCAACTATATGTACTTTTAAAGTTCCAGACTTTTTTCTTGTACATGGTCAGTTAAAAATAGCAGGAATTTAACCAAGGTTCTGCTCTCCCTTTGAAATTTTAAAGATGGGAAAATTCATTCAAATATGGTTGTTGTTGTTGTCAAAAGAAAACCTTGACAGGATAAACATTTTAACTTCAACATCAGTCATGTAATGTTTCTTAAACTGAAAAATTCATCAAAATTGGAACCATTTGATATCAGGGATGGGCACGATTACTGACAAATGTAATCGATTAATAATCGATTACATGAAGGATTTTTGTGTAATCGATTAATAATCGATTACTCTGATTTTTTTATGTAATCGATTGCAATCGATTACTTTATCAAAAGTAATTACATTACTTTTCGATTACTGTCAATTACATTTTACAAAATTACAAAACAAATAATAAAGTAAGTTAAAGTTAAACACAATTACGTTGCTCAACGTTTGTATAGTAAATATTTAGAAATTTACCAAAAACAGCATTTAGAGCATTGTTTTCAAATTTTAAGTTGACATTTTTTTTCTAGATGGAATCTCTTACTGAGGATCAGAAATAATCAAACATTCTTGAAATTTGGCTTTCAACATGAACGAGAGATGACATCGCATTGCATCAATTACTTATTTATATTGCAAGTTTTTTTTCAAAAATTTTGCTTTCATACTGACTTAGAGTAGCTTTTTTGTTTTTTACTCATTAAAAACAGGTATATTTTTATTCAACATAGTTAATTGCAATGTTGGAAGTTTTCCTCTGAAAAAAGTAGAATAATTAATTAGTTCAGCTAATTTCAAAGATCAATATTTATAATTATAATGTCATGCATGAATTAATCCTTTTGTTTGGATAACCACCCCAATTACAGGTTATAAAACTGCCAATGGAGTACAATTTATAACCTGGGGCAAAATAATGTAAATCTCCCTCTTAATTAGACATAATTGAAATGAAAACAAAGTCTACATCTTATTTATTAGAAGTCTTTTATCATCTGATTAGTAAAGACAAGAATTGTGTTTAGATTTTTTTATTCTCTAATCAAATTATAAACAATATATATTCATAGTGTCAAAATGGGAAACATGTATCTATTTCTCCAAAAGAATTTCAGTGCATAGCCAATGGTTCATTGTCGAAAGGATTTTGTGTACTTTTTGATATTTACATCATAACATTATAAGGAATCAACTGATTATCTATTCTAATCTAAAATTCCAACTCTTATTTAAAATTATGCTTTAAAGAATGTTAATACAAATAAGCTTACTACTTTAATGTAGTACAGTACTTAACTTAAGACTCATTTATTATTTTAAATCTATTTTCTTATTTCAAATCTATTTTCTTATTTTAATATATAAGGTCTTGAATTATTGACAAGCACATAAATCCATTTTTTTTTCAAAAGCTAGATATAAAGTAAAATTTGGTAGGGGATCTGGTTGGTCATAATGCAGCTTGTGACAATAGATAGATATAAAGCAGTTGATAAACTCTTAAATCATATTGATACATTCTGTTTAATACATACATACTTTCATTTAGAATAGGTTATATTTCATCAAACTATTTTACTAAAGTAATCAAAATGTAATCGAAAAGTAATCGATGATTACATCACAAATTTTGCTGTAATCGATTAAATTACGATTACATGTAATAGAAAATGTCTTCGATTACAGATTACTGTCGATTACTGGAAAAAATGTAATCAATTACAATCGATTACGATTACAGATTACGATTACCCCATCCCTGTTTGATATACTCTTTTGATTTTACTGTGTAATGTGGACTCATTTACATTTGTGGGTATCAATTTTGGTGGATTGAGGGAAATAATGTATTTTTGTTGATATATGATTTCAAGGTTTTGCCCAGGTCTGTATACAAGCCTATAGAAAATTAGAACTTCTTTATAAAAATAAGGAGATGTGGCATGATTGCCAATGAGACAATTATCCACCAAAGTTCAAATGAAGTGGATGTTAGCAATTATAGGCAACCGTACCGGCCTTCAACAATAAGAAAACTCCATACCGTATAGTCGGCTATAAAGGCCGTGACGTGACAAATATGAAACAATTCAATTGAGAAATTCTTTGACCATTAAAATTCATCGTTCACCTTCACTCAAGAAATCCATGATTGGTATCCCACGATCAATTAAGAATCAACAGTAATTTGAAATAACTAAGTGTATAGTTTTTCCTAGATAAATGTAACAGTCCAAATCAACTAAGGGCTATTCCATTAAAATGTATATATGTGGGAGGGTAGGAAGGGACTTTCAAAATATCCCTACAACCAAGGACCATTTTTTAGATAATTTTGCATAATGGTAATAGATGCATACTGAAAAAAGACCCATGACCCACATTCAATAATTCCACTTCCCTTCCTACCCTCCCACATACATTTTAATGGAATAGCCCTAAGCAGCTTAAACAAACATCTTCGTGGTGTTATTCCAAAGCATATTTACTTCTTTTAGATTATCTGAATACATCCTAAGATATTAAACTATTAGGACAGTTCCATTGTAACATTTATGGGACTCAAGGAAGACACTTTGAAAATACAGTAACCACTCATAGAACAATTTTAGAGACATAAAAACATTTCAAACTGGTACAACATAGTATTTCACATTCCATTGTGGGAAATTAAACTGCCTTCCCTGGGTCCCATGCATGTTTTTATGGAACAGCCCTTATTTGATTAGAAAGCATCAATTTAGAGATTCCTCATTACCACCATTTACCACAGATCTAAAAAATTGGAATATAAGTTTTTATTACTTATATGATTACTGTAAATTCAGAAATTATTGCTTGCATTTTTTATTGCAATTTTATGAAGAATGAAAACTAGAGGCTCTAAAGAGCCTGTGTCGCTCACCTTGGTCTATGTGCATTTTCAACAAAGGACACTCTCCAACATTGTAGACGGGAATAGAATTCATGACAAAATTCTGTTTTGTTGATCACTTAAGTCTGTTTAGTTTCTCTCGATATTCTTTAGTTTTTGCTCAAAACACAAAAGAGGGTAAACAAAATCCTCATTTAAAGGCAATCACTCCTATAAAGAGTGACAGTCTACTAATTATATCGGCAAAATTTGACTTGTTAGTAGATCTTGCCTTGCTGATCATTTTTGTGATTTAAAGTGTCTATTTATCTATTTTAATTTTTATCATATAAGGCAAAACGCAAAAAAAAAAAAAAAAAAAATCGTAATTAAAGGGCAATAACTACAATAAGGAGTAGTCAGACGATTTCCTCCATATTTGTCTTAATTGTAGATCTTGTTTTTCTGATCATTTTTGATTATTTAAGTTTCTATCTACTGTGTATTCATTTATTTTCGTGGATACCAATTTTCGTGGATTAAGAAAAACTTACATGTTCGTGGATATTTGATTTCGTGGTTTTGCCGAAGTCTGCTAACAAGCCTAAAGAAACTTTGTTATTTGTTGAACATTTAATTTTGTGGTTCACCTGTACCCACGAAATCCACGAAAATTGGTATCCAACGAATAATAATGAATCCACAGTATCTATTATAATTTTTAAGATATGACAAAAACGCAAAAAATTGGTAAAAATCATCATCAAAGAGCAATAACTCTAATAAGGAGTCGACTGACAATTTCGACCATTCAGACTTATTTGTGGAACTTGTCTTGCTGATCATTTTTGCAATTTAAAGTTTCTCTCTATCTATTATAGTTTTCAAGATAATAGGCAAAAATTAAAAAAAAGTAAAATTTGTCATTTAAGGGAAATAACTCCTATTAGAAGTCATCTGACATTTTTGGCGGGTACAGACAATAGGTAGAGCTCAACAGTCTCAATATTTTTGCTCATGTCTGATTTTCTCTATAACGGTTTTCAAAATAATAGACAAAACTTGCATTTTGCCCCTTTTGCCACTATGTTATATTTTAAGCCATGTCGGCCAACTTGGTTGTCAGGCGAGGTCATTGGACATATTTTTTAAACTAGATACCCCAATGATGATTGTGGCCCAATTTGATTTAATTTGGCTCAGTAGTTTCAGAGGAGAAGATTTTTGTAAAAGTAAACGACGAAGACGACGGACGCCAAGTGATGAGAAAAGCTCACTTGGCCTTTTAGGCCAGGTGAGCTAAAAATGTGAGTATAATTATTGCGATTTAGGAAAACTTCATACAGATATATGTATCAGGAATCAGAATGCGAGTTCTCATTATTGCAATACTCAGAGAGTTGCTTTATTTGCATTAATAAAAACCTCGCTATAATTTCTAAATTTACAGTAATTGTTTACCAACTACCCCATTAATAAGAGTCTCTATCGTAAGTACAGTTAACTTTAAATTCATTTTAATGAAGAACAAGCTTCCAAAATCCTCAGTATCTTTATGAAAGGTATTAGCTCTAACATGATCAGCTTGATAATATGCATCTGTGGTAGAAAGAAGCTTCGCTATGTGATTCTTAGATTATGCCAGAAAATTTTTGGAGTAAATAATTGAATGAAATTTAGAGAGAAAAAAAAAATTACTTAAGCTATATGTTTTAACTAAATCTGCAGTATCTGTTAATGCACAAATTAACACTTAAATTAAAGTGAGGTTTAACTTTATTGTTCAGTAACTTGGTTCTGATTATTTGTTTATTTTGATGGAAGACCAGAGAAATCTGATTATCCTTTGATTACTATTCAGTAATTATACTATTCAGTAATTACCTGTCCATATTTGTGTTGGTGTCTCAGCCACAAAGGTTTAGCTAGCCACATCCATGGAACACAGATAGCAGCCAGGAAAACTAAGAACTTCTCAAAGCCATACTGAAATGCAAGTTACAGTCATGTAAATAATTAATATAGGAATTTGAGTGGTTAAAAAAAAATTACATTTATTTTTCTTTGTTTTTTTATTTTTAGCTATTTAGAGACCTCTAGGTCAGTATTTTCTCTCTATTATGTAATATCATAAATTTCTTTTTTTTTAATCTGCAATTACCTGTTAAATTAGAAAGTATAGTCTATATGGACATTCCTCAACAATAAATTATACAATGCTAAATATGTACTATATACAATATCAATCTCAGTCAAATTTTCTTACAGATCTAATTAAAAAAGATTTCACAGTATTTTCCAATAGTATGGCATAGAATTATATATTTATTTCATAGCAACAGGTTAGAAAGTTAAAATGCTCTCTCAGTTTAAAATGAGAAATGTATTGCATATGAAATAAAAGTCACCTATTAAATGGCTGTTATGCTTACATTAGATGCGTTTTCACTTATATAGAAAAGAAGTAAGTTGCTACTGGTGACGGCATCTGTGTAGCATGGAATTTACATCTTATCATTAAAAGGCCACAATATTCATTTAAAAAGATGCAAATATGGCCAACAACTGCTGGCCCAACCAGAAGGTATGTATTTTAAACCAATTTTCATTGTTTTAGGGCCACAACTTTTGCAAAAATGGTCCTACCCCACACAAAACAATGGGAAAGTCTATGATTAGCCTTAGGGAAATTCAAAATAAAATTCTGATAGAAAAAAAAGTGCAAAATGGTATTATATGGTTAAGTTTCTGAGAAAGTGTTTTGGATGAGTTGCCAATACAAAATAAGTACTCCCAAGATGAAGAAGTGGCAAAGTGGAAATGGGAATCCTCAAAAATAATTTTGCATAAAAAAATCATAAATGGAGATACACAATGGCATTGTCTGGTGGAGATTTGGACTAAATTTCATTAAATTCTGATGAGGGGTTTAGGAAAAGATGCATATACATTTCAGATCAAGCTTACATTAAAAGGAATGTTAAAGTACACCCATTCATTAGTTAACAAGTGGCTAACCATGCTAACAGAGGATTAAAATCCCCTCACTATACTTAAGTCTTCACTGAGCATGGATCAACACTGATTCTGTAGATAAAACCTACCTGTCCGGGATACATAGGAACGTCTGTCTTTTTTCTTTGCATCAGAAACATGTTGATTAACCCTATCAAGGTAAATGATAACAACTATTATTCAGAGTATATATCTAGAACATGAATAGCTTACAACAATACAATATCTAGAATCTATAACTACTGTAAATTCAGCATTACTGCTAGATTTTTATTTATGCAAATAATGCAACTGGATGAGTATCACAATAATTAGAACTCACATTTTGTTATTTGATACATACATCTGTCATGTCTGTATGCAAATTTTTTAGAAATCGCAACAATTAAACTCACATTTTTGTCCATACTTCAAAAATCGTAACAATAAATGCATGCAATAATTTCTGAATTTACAGTACACTAAATGAGAAGACCTAATTTGTGTATGCCACTTCTCAAAATAAGAGATTTGATTAATCAATACGGCTATGTGTACTTTTTTTTGTTCATAAATATTCTATTAAGAGTCCATTGTTAAACAACTGTTGTAAGGAACAAGTTGTCTTATTTAGTCAAGCTGTTCAAGAGAAGTTTTCAATATTAAGGAGAAATCTTATAGACAATGCATATTTTACGGTTTGTCTTGTTGTATAACACAGAGGGATGTCAGTATAAATTATTATAGCCCACCCTCCATTAAATTCCGTGGCTACTCCCCTATAGAGAAAGAAAATATTTGGTCATTTGATAGTGAAAGGTATATATAAATTGCTTTTTAATAATCCTAAACAAGAATGTTATTAAATTTGGTTTGGTTTAAAAGTGTTATAAGAAGTTTTGCATTAAATTTATCTCACTTAAGGTGGTACCTAACACTACAGGGAGATAACTCTGTAAAAATCAGCTAAACGTTTTAATTACGTTGTATTGTTAAGGAAATATGAAGCTTCTCAATGATCAAAATTAGTGTTTGTCAAACTGCTATATAACCAACGAAATTTTTCTGATAAAGTGGTTGGTTCAAATTTTTTGAAATTTTTATATTTTTGTCAAAGGGTCAAAGTAAACATTTTGTCAAAATTTTATGAAAATTAAACGAGCCAAACTAATATTAGTCAAGGTGTTGGGTACCACCTTAATGTCCCTTTGTTTTAGTGAAAAATTGTACAGTAAAACCCTGATTGGCAACAACACACGATAAATATCAAACTTTACATGTATTTTGCATTTTAATCAGGGCAAATAATGACCTTACACAGGTCATTATTTTATGCGTTGAAGCACATTTTATTGAAACTTTGTATCGTCCACGTTGTTTCTTTAAAAGAAAGACCTATCGTTCTATAAGGAAATAACTCCATGTTGGAAGATGAAGATTACAAATTCCAAACATTAAAAAGTAATAATTGCCAGTAATCTAGATGTTTACTAATATGACTTGTTTCATTTTATCACATCTGGTACATTTCTACATGAATTTACCTATAAGAAGATTTGGATCTTTTCCTAAATCATTAACTGTAAAATGTGTCCACTTGTAGAAAACCAGGATACACAAGTAACCAAATATACTGCACATAAATATCACTTGAGGAATGAACTCACATATAATGTTCAAGTTGTTTTTAAAGTGTCTGAAAACAAATAATGAAACATACAATTGTGTAAAAAGAAGATGTTTTAAAAGATTTCCATTCATGCTGAATTACTCGGAAAATTTTCCCTTTATTTCAGAAGCATGATTTTCTTTAAATTTGAATGCTTATTTTCCATAGGTTTCTGAATATTTAATTTTTAATTTTTAAGTACTTTCATAACTGTACAATTATGATACATTTTCAACACTTGTATAAAAGAACATTTATAACAAAAGGATAATTGTCTATTGAATTAAAAAAAAAGGTTAAGGGTTCTGTGGAGTCTTTTCTGTGATTGCTGCTGTCAGTGTAAAAGTATGATGTGGGTAAAAAGTGAGTAAATTTATCAGTAAAATACAGAATTTAAAAAAAAATCAAACTTCTTCTTTAGATGCCATATTTTGATCTTGGAAGATTTATAGCTTCTGTCCAAGTTTCATAACAATCAATGCAGATTTACAAAACTTATCATTAAAATAAATTAATCCCAGACTGTCTGTAAGGTTAACTGTAAAAAACTAAGTTCATCTATGAGTACAATACTGAAAATGAAAATAAATATTTTCAAAATTTTGCACTGGATATTGTCTTTTGGTCATAAAAAAGCTGAGGACCACCTCCGGGTGTGGGATTTTCTCGCTGTGTTGAAGACCCATTGGTGGCCTTCGACTGTTGCCTGCTCTTTGATTGGATTGTTGTCTCTTTGACATATTCCCCATTTCCATTCTCAATTTTATTCTGTCCAAATTTTTTTTGAACTCCCTAAAGGTTCAACAAATTAAAGTTATTGATGTCTAAAAATCAATTTTAACCACAGACAGAACCAAAATATTTGTGCACAAACCTTAAAATTTACTTCATGATGATAGCTGTGTAACATCAATTTCATAATACATACCTATGATTAAAGAGACTAAGAATTACACCAAACAACATCTGTGTGACTCCAAATATGACTGAGAGCTTCATCTTCAGAGAGTTTGTTGCTGTGATTTTGTTAGTAGACATCTGCCATATCTGTCAAACACAGAATTAACAACATTAATACACAACTCTTTTATTGATGACAAGTTCATTAGCTTATCCTGTCATTCAAACACTTACATGAACAAGAAATGTCAATGTATTTTGCATCTGTAAAAATGGTACCGGTAATACTATTTTACTATGGTAATTTTTTGTATTATTGTCTTTCCTTTTTGCTTATGTGCTTTGTTGATATGACATTTTGTTTTTCTTTGTTGACATATTTGTTTGTTTTTATAGTGATTAAGATAATAACACATTGTTGTACCCCTATTTCTGACATTTTGACCTATTATGTCTGTTTTTTTTGTTCACATTGTTGTCAATATAATGGAATTTTATGCGACTGTCTTACAAGTGAGAGGTTTAGCTAGCTATAAAACCAGGTTTAATCCACCATTTCTACATAAGGAAATATGACAGTTGTTGTCCATTGGTTTGATGTGTTTGAGCTTTTGATTTTGCCATTTGATAAGGAATTTTCCTTGGAGTTCGGTATTTTTGTTATTTTATTATTTTACTGAATCAAATTCTGATTATTCAATGTACCCTCGTAATATTTGTTCTACAAGTCTGATCATATAGCCTTTTCCAGAAACACATTTCTGGAATCATGAATTTAACTCTATACCTACTCTGTGGTAGAACATTCAAGTATTTGGTAAATAAAGAGCAACTAAGAAGTAAAATCCAGCTTACAATCGGTGCAATTTGAAGAACAGATTATAGTAGCTGTTTTCTGTTTTCTATGTATGACAAAATCATCAGAAAATAGTTATTCCCCCCCCCCCCACAAATTGTAAGCTTGAATTGACTTCTTTTAGTTGCTCTTGCTTGACTTAGTAGCTAGTAAATAAGTGTATACTTTTGTGTTTCTGTCCCATTATTTGATTGGCTAGTATAAACTATTGTGTTTCTGTCCCATGATTTGATTGGCTAGTATAAACTATTGTGTTTCTGTCCCATGATTTGATTGGCTACAACATTCAAGTGAAGTTAACTCCATTGCATTTTTGTACACCATCAGGTATATATGCTTTAACTATAATATTTGTGAAGTTATATATATATAAGATTCAATAATTGAATTTCTCTAAATTTGACAAAAACACACTTTTCAACTTGTTTGTAAGTATCTTCAATTGTTTAATACTTACTGGGTCTAGTCCAAATGGATATGGTCCACTTCCAACAAAAGAAGTATTAGGGTCTAATTGCAAATTAGAAGATCCATGTAAAGTTGCACTTGTATATGTTCTAAAACAAACAAATTTAATTCAATTAGGCTGAAATTGAAAATTAATTCAGGCTTATGGATGTTCGCTGCTGGATTTCAAAATAACAATATTGTTAATAAACAACATTAATTTTACAATAGATAATGCATAATACATCAAAATTGTTGAAAAATAAAGATAGGTGGAATGATTGTTTTTTAAACATATTTAAAAGGTTTGATTTTGTGGTGGAGAATGTAATTTCAATTGATCTACCCTCAGTTCTAATGTAAAATTAATGCAATTAATATACTCTGTGTTCTAGATAAACTATTGGAAATAATATCCTATTTAATAGTGTTTGTCTCAAGTGCTTTTGTATTTTGTTATATTAGATTTCAAAACGATATCATTAATTCTTTATTTCAAATATACTGAATTAAACAATTAATTCATGGCAATAATTACAATACAGAATTGATGTCCATTGCCAAAATATGACACATGAAAATTTAACCACTACTGTTTTGGGGGAAACTGCCAAAATACCCCTACACCAAAATATCCTGATTTGCAGTTTCATGGTGGTCAGTTTATATTGGTGGAGGAAACTGGAGTAACCGGGAAAGAACTATAATCTTTGGCAGGAAAACAGCCAATCCTTGTCCATTAAGGTCGGAGTCAAACGCACCTCTCCATGAGCAGGGTGCTTACTCACAACTTCGAAGTTAACATGCTAGTGATTACTACAAATAAACTAAAACTATTTAGACTACTCTGGCATCATGGCCCAATACAGCTTCTAAGCTGTGCATGTTTTAACCTCTTCAGGTGGTACATACTGTAAACCGACTAATTTTTGCAAGCAATTTATTTTTCGCGACTTTCACGATTAGAAAAATAACGCGAATATAAATCATAGCAAACATGTAATACTTGGATCTTTCTTAATTTGACTTCATCAAGTAAATTTGAAAACTGCGATTTTAAATTGCCACGAAATGTGCTAGAAAGGGCTAAACCCGAAATAAAGTAACCGCGAAAATAAGTTGGTTTACAGTAACACTACACGAAGATAACTCTGTAAATATCAGCTGAACGTTTTAATCACATAATGACATTCAATTGTTAAGGAAATATTAAACATCTCAACGATCAAAGTTAGTGTTTGTCAAACTGCTATATAACCAATGAATTTTTTCCGATAAAGTGTGTGGTTGAAGTTTTTGAAATCTTTATATTTTTGTCAACATGGTCAACATGGTCAAAGTAAATATTTTGTCAAAATTTTATGAAAACTAAACGAGCCAAATTAATTTGAGTCAAGTTGTTTGGTACCACCTTAATGTAATATTATATTACTAGGAAGAGGAAGATAAACAAATACTACATAGGAACGAAAGATTAATAAATAAATATACAACATATCAAATGAAACTTACTTGTGTGTTTGTGGATCAATAGGAAACCATGACGACCCAAACACGTTAAGTGACTTTGAAAACACATCATTATACAAAAATCCAGTGTAAATAGAAAATAATCCCATCATCGTTATAATGTATCTTCCACCAAAAAATGTGGCAAAAATCTGTAAAAGAAACATATATTAATGTATTGCCTTTCAAATAGGTGATGCAAAATTTCAATCACAAAAAAACGTAATAATATTGTGTCCACCAAAAAATGTAAATAAAATTTGAAACAGTACATTCTTAATCAAGTTATAGTTGTCTGAATATGGCTCAAGATTTCCCACTGTATGCCGTATGCCCATCTGCATGCGACATGAAAAGGTTTATTACTCAATTTTATCACTTTAGCCTTATAGTTTTTACTAAAAATATACATATATTTTTGACCAAATGTCATATTGTTCTTACCTCATCTTCAATCTTTTTAGCCATAAAATATTTCTCCCTTACAATAAGGAATATTCCAAATATTGCCATAATCAAACCATGACCAATGTCTCCAAACATCACAGCAAACAGGAATGGAAATGAAATAATAGTAAATGGAGCTGAAATAAAAATAACAAGCATTCTGAGAGTACCGGTTAAAAATTCATTGTACTGGAACAAATGCTTATTTGATCTATAACTTGTCATGGTGTAAACTGTATAACAAATATCAAGTCAATATCTTCAAGCATGACAAAAAAAAGTGTGGAAAACTGATTATTTAAGTGAATTTTCGAAGTCCAAGGACCATAACTCTGCACAAAATCATCAGACCAGAACAAAATTCAATCTTGATCTGTAACTTTTGTCATGATAAAACAATACACCAAATATCAAATCAATATCATCAAGCATGAAGAAAAAAAATGTGGAAAACTGATTTGCCGGACTGATGGATAGACAGACAGATGGAGTGCAAACCTTAAGTCCCCTTTGACTTCGTCGGTAGGGAACTAATTATCAGTTAATCGTCTCTGTTCATGAGAGTTTACAGAATAGAGAATAATGGGCAATAAGTGCAGAATAAAGGGCAAAAAATATGAAGAATGGAGAAAAATAGACCCAAAAAATAAAGAATAGACAAAAGAAGACAAAAAAAGAATAGAGAATAATGGGGTGCTGACCTCATTTATCCTGGACTGTAATACAATAATTTTCAGATATCTTCTGAAGACTGGTACGGATTATTCCATTAATGGATGTGGGAGGGTAGGATAATCAGTGAAAGAAAAGTGATAAAACCCAAATAAATTCACCTTCAGTTAAATGATAAACCAAGAATGTGAGAAACGCATAAATGTATTGGGAGTCCACACCTGATTTTTACCATTGATGGTTGTAAAGAGTTCTCTTTCCTCAAATTTTCGCCATTTTCATTTTTTTTTCATTCCAAAAAATCTGTGTTCACAATATGCTATGCAAAGGTATTGAAAAGTAGAAGCTGACACCCAATATTTTTACCTTCTTAACAAATCTGTTTGAAGAAGCTTGATTTAGAGCTATTACAATAATAAAATATTAATAAAAAAAGTCCTGGAAATTATTTTGTTGATTGTACCTAGAACTAATGATGGCCTAAAATCAATCAGTTAACAGCTCTGTAGTGATAAAACATTTCCCTCAAACGTTTCAGAAAATTTTACCAAAGTAAATTTCTCTAGAAGAGCTTGAATCAATGAATATTAAAAATGTTATAATACTATTTTCCCAGAGTTAAACTCTCAGTCAGGAGTAAATGATGGCTAAAAATGTTAAAAAGAAATTTACACTGAGTTAACTTTTCTGTGGGGTCATTAACGATAAAAAATGTTTCAAACAATTTAACTTGAGTTAACAGCTCTGCATGGAGTCCATGATAGCCTAAAAATTCTAAAGAAAATTTTACTCGAGTTTGTTTCTCAGTAAGATATCTGAAAATGTTTAAGAAACTTTTTACTTTTGTTAACCTCTCTGTGAAGAGTCAAAGATGTCCCAAAATATTTCATAATTTTTTCTGAATTAATCTAAGAGTCAGTGATGGCTTAAAATGTATCTGGTGGATTGTTGAAACCACATCTCCTTATTTAAATAAATAAATCTAATCTGGGTTAACGTTACTATGGTGTCAATAATAGCCAAAAAATCCTTAAGTAAATTATATATAGATTAACCTCTGTGTAAGGAGTCAATGATGACTCAAACATTACAGTAACTTTTATCTGGGTTAAACTTTCTTTCAGAGTCAATTACTGTTAACAGACTGAAATGTTTCAGTATATTTTACCTGGGTTAATCTCTCTGTAGGTAGAAACTCCATAGGAGTCAACAATGCCTTGAAATGCTTCAGTGAATTTATTTGTTCTGTTGTAAGTTGGAGGAGTCTGTTTGGTACCCATTTTGTTCAGAATTGATGGTACAGAACTTCCACTTCTTTCCTACAATAAAAGATCATGTTAGCAAGATGAGAAAATAATTTGAAAAAAATGCTTTTAATGTAAAATTCTTTATATAAGTTTTTGAGTAAATAATTAAACATATTTTCTTGTGTTGGAAACCTTGTTATTTCATCCCTTCCAAAATTATGATATAGTTCAATGTGTCAAAATATAATTTTCATTCTTCGAAGGGAGTTAATCAAAAGTCAAGCTTTTAAGAAATTTAAAAAAATTAACACACAATTATTTTTTCTTCTTCAAAATTTGCTTTGAATGTTTCCTTCCTATATCATATTTTTTTTTTTAGAAATTTTTGACTTACTGTTCCTCTCCTTAAAGCTTGTTGTATCCTATCTAAATCTTCAACAGGGCACCAGCATTCTGCTATCAAGCATTTCTGAGTTACATCTATATTAAACTGGTTCAGTGTATAGTAAATGGCTTTTATTTTTCGTACTTTGATGAACCAGACTTTTATGTTTCGAGCTGCTGCTACTAAAACTCTATGTCTATGGTCCTGGGTCTGTCCTAAAACCTGATAACAGAAAATAACAATGAACTTAATTTGTTAGGTATGGTTACTTCTGACAGGACCTAGAAACAATCAAATGAAAGCTAATGGCCTATTAATTTTAAGCATCTGATAAATATAGATTCTACCACTGCATCGAGTGTGATATGATATTTATCCACTCGAGACAGTTAAATTTTCAAATTTAAAACGCGAGGCTAACCGAGCGTTTTAAATATTAAAATTTAACTGTCTCGAGTGGATAAATATCGTATTACACGAGATTTGGTGGTGGAATCTGTTTCTCTAATGATTTTCAAACAATACGCAGGCAAATTTATTCATTCTTTTCGAATGATCTGCAAAAAGATGTGCTCTTTCTATGTGACGTCATCAGGCATGTTCGCTTTTTTTCATGCCGTCACAATAGGAAATTCAGAGGAAAGCAAGAAAATTCGACGTCATAATCGGATTTTAACCAATGAAGAACTGAGATCAAACGAACCACACGTTGATTAAATTTTTTTTATACAATGGGTGCAGAAAGGGATAAATTGACGAAGAATTAGAGAATATTTTTTATCTAAGACTTGCGATTTTAAAAAATGATTTTCTCCTTGAAATGGTTTCAATATCAATTTTCTTTTTTACTTGAAATTGGTGTAAATGTAACTTACAGTATTCAGATCTTCAATTCTTGTCATTACACCTATAGCCATTTCCCTTCGCTCTGCTGGAGTCTCTGGACAGGGATACAGTGTAGCTCTAAAACCTTCACAAATTTTCTTCACTCTTGATTTCAACTGGTCTCCTTGGAAAAATATGATGAACACCGACTTGTACACTTGATCTCCCTGAAAAAAAACATAAATCTTCTTTGTCCTAATGTTTAAATACATATAATGTGTAAAAGGAAAGAAATGCATTAAAAAACAATGAAAAATCAATTTCCTTTTCTATGTGTGAATGAAAAGTGATAAGCAGTAAATGTCAATAAATAAAACAAAATAAAACACCATAAGGTTGAAATAAACTTTTACAGAGCACCTGACAGTTTAACCCTTTGACTGTCAAGTCCCTGTCTGTATTTTTTCTCACTGAATATGAATCAAATTGGTTACTGACATTGCCATAGTCATTTTATAATTCCTACAGGAGATTAATTAACAAGAGTAAAGGTGCTTTATATATCACTAGTCCTATTGCTCTGATGTTTGATGGCCTATTTTTAGGACTGGTTGGGGCTGTCAGATTTCAGAGTGCTGTCCATATAGAAAACAGAAAAATTGCCCATCCAAACTTTGGCCAACAAGTTTCTATCTCAATATCATAATAAATCCATATTAAACATACATTTGATTCCTTATTCATTTTTACTCCACGAATATGTAACTTTAAGTTAGAGCTTTCATTATGTAAAGCAAATTTGAAACCCTGTATTAAGTCATTATGATGGCATTAAAATTCTCGTAATTATAAGCCAGCAAGTTTTTTTTTAACTTTGTTGTTTTTGTAAAAAAATAAGCGTGATAAGAAAAACCATAGATGATGACAACAAACATTTGCAAGCTGTTGTTTAAAAATTTTAAAGGTTTGTGCACCTTTTCAAGCCCTTACTGACTTTGTGTGTAGAATCATTAAAATAACTTTAACAACAAGAATGTGTCCGTAGTACACAGATGCCCCACTCACACTATCATTTTCTATGTTCAGTGGACCGTGAAATTTGGGTCAAAAAACTAATTTAGCATTAAAATTAGAAAGATCAAATCATAGGGAACATGTGTACTAAGTTTCAAATTGATTGGACTTCAACTTCATCAAAAACTACATTGACCTATCGTAGGTGGGGCATAAAAATTATTTTCCAGAGAGACACACTGTTATTATCTCCCCACCTATACATACCGTAACAGGATCTTCAAGTGGGTTTACGATTTCAGTCTGACGGAGGAAAACATTGCCTCTACAAACTCGCCACAACATCTTCTCAAAAGCTGGTATCTTCTCCCTCAGTATAACTCCAGCAACAAACCTACAGTGCAAACATTGACAATATTTCTATCTACTTTTTCTACAATTACTTTTACTACATTAGTTTTCTAAGTTATGTTTTGTATACTGTTTGTCTTTTGATAGTTTATTTTGTTGCCATGGCATTGACAGTTTGTTTGCGACTTTGAATATCCCTTTGGTACCTTTTTCCTCTCTTTCACATTGAAGATAGCAAAGTATATTTAAGAAAAGAGACATTTTAGGCTAAGGAAAAAAATTAGTTGCTTCAATTAACATATCTCAATACGGGAAAAGTCTGCCCAACAGATATTTTTTCAAAACAATTTTAATTTAACTGAAGCATTGTATGTAGGAAAGGATACATAGAAATATAGGAAATAAACTTTAAGTTCAACTCTCCATATGCATGATATATGATTCTGTGTTGATGGCTATCATGGTACTTTTTAACCAAATTTAACATAAACAAAAGGTAAAATATTAATGTTCAGTATTCAAATTTGAAGTCATAAGTCAAAACATTTCTTGCTCAAAATATGCAGAAGACAAAAATAGATGGAATTTTTAGGAGCAAAAATTTCTTTATTTTTACAATAGGCATTAAAAAATTTCAGTCAAGGGTAAAATGACATTAGCCAAAAAAAATTATATGTCTGTTTACAGTTACCGGACCGACCCTACTTTTGAGCGCCGACCCTAAGTCATTTTATTTCCGTCGTAAAGTGAAAAATAAACTGAAATCGTGTCAAAAGTGAAGTTAGTGTTGCAAATAATATAAATCAATTGCCTGATACATCCCAATTTTCATAATCGTGAATATGACAACTGTTTTAAGGAAATTCGCAACTCGTGTGATGAAATAAACACTTTGCCGCCATTTTTTTCCAACCAAATACCAAGGGAAATAATCCAATTACTAAAAATAATGGTAAACTCGGCCCATGATCAACTCGGACCACGACAAGACGAAACGGCATGACTCAAAATCATGTCACAAAAAATAAAATGAAAATAAAATAAAATGGAAATACCGACCTACCTACCCTATTTTTTTAAAGTATGTAACCTTAAATAGGCATATAATTTTTTTTGGGCCTTAGCAGTAGAAATGTTGCACTAAATTTTTTGAATTAGTATGACAACTAAATAATACATGTATGTAGTATTTCCATAAGTCTTTACCTCTTACAACAGTCATAAACTCACCCTACTTTTATAGCCAGACCAGTTGTCTTCAATTCTTCTTCCAGTAAACCGATGGTTTCATCCTATATATAATGAAAAGTAGGTTATAAGACTTACCCGAGCTTCAAGGCTTGTCCAGATCTGTATGTTTCCTCTCCAAGGAGTCCCATGGTCTCGTCTGTCAGTGAGGGATCGTGTATTGCCTGAGTATGATGAATTTCAGCCTGATGTGAATGATATACACAAAAATGGTAAATAATAAACCCTCCCCTCTAAAGGAGTAAAATAAAAACGAAGCAAAACTAAATATTAATGTGCAAAAGTTAAGGCATCTTATAGTTAATGATCTAATAGGTTTGAACTTAAAAGTATTCGAAATGTTAGAGTTTAACGTCCAAATAATTGATTATCATTCATTCATTATATCGTTATAATGGTTACTATAAACAATTAAACAGAATTTTTATGGTTGTTTTTTTTATTAAATCTTTGTTGTACATATTGTCATTACATTAACACAATATCTATTTTTCGAGGAATCTCTTCCATATTTTTATTACATGGACAATAAATTCTTAAAGCCATTTATTTAAAAATTTTCTATAAAATGCCTTAAGTTTATAAACAATGTAATACACAAAAATACAGATACATTCAGATACAAATTCTCATGTGCTCATGCAAATTTTTATGATTCCAAAGCATTTATACCTGTTTGGTTCTAAAAATTGATCTTGTGGAATATTGAATTATTAAACGTCTGCCACAGTTTTTGCTTTCAATCACTTGACAGAACTATATCATGTATATACGTAACAAATGTAAATTCATAAATTTTTGCCTTCATTTAATATTGCAATTCATAAATTTTGAACAAAATTATGAGATATAATTATTAAGATTTCAGAAAGTGTTATGTTCAGATAATGATAATGCTATCAAAATTTACAATGCAAGTTTTAACTTTTGCTAAACCTATCCCGAGGCAAATTTTGCAATAATAAAAACAAAAACATACCAAATTTCCCAATTTACAGTATGAGGTTAAAGATTATAGAAATGAATCAATGAAAATTAGTATCCAAATAATTACAAATATTAGAGAAGACATATCAACTTTTTTTTGTTTTTTTTCTTTATCTTCTCACTAGTACATGTACAGATCTGTGACACATAATTAAAGAGATAATGCATGCACAAAAAACATAACATGTATATATCCTTTTCTATACATTCAATGACCACAGATCAAATAAAAATCCTGAGAGCAATCATATCTTACAACCAACCAGTATTATTGGAGTCAACAGCAAGCACACAAGTTAAATAAATTTAAAATAAATAAATCTCAGTTTCTCAGGCATATACTCTCAAGTTTTCTATATAAACTGTTTACACAGAGATATGTCTCGCCTTTTTGTAATTTTGATAATGCAAATGTTGAAATTAAAATAGCAATACTTTAACATGTAAGTTATGCAAATATTCAAAGTCAATGAACCATGACTGAAGTTTGTGGCAAAAAAATATCCATGGAAATGAGATATGCTAATGCTAATACAACTGCATACTAAATACCATTGACTTATCATAAGTCATTCCCTTTCAACAAACCTAAACGAAAACATTAACTTGTAAACTATGTAAAAGTTTCAAAGTCAATGAACCATGATGAGGGGTGGGGCTATATAATCTCTATGGAAACAAGACTTGCAAATACCAATACATTGGCATACCAATTAACATTGGCCTACCACTAATGGTTCCCTTTGAACTGACCTAATCACAAACTAATACATGTAAACTAAACAAAATCTTCAAAGTCAATAGACCATGACTGAGGGGGCAGAGCTAATTAATCTCCATGGAAATGAAATATGCCAATGCTTATACAACTACATACCAAATATCATTGACCTACTATTAGTGGTTCCCCATAAACTGACCTAATCACAAACTATTACATGTAAACTAAGCAAAAGTTTCAAAGTCAATAGACCATGACTGAGGGGCCAGGGCCAAATAATTCCCATGGAAATGAGATGTGCCAATGCTAATTATACAACTGCATACTACATATCATTGACCTACCACTAGTGGTTTACCATAAACTAGACCTAATCACAAACTAATACATTGTTGACGCCGCCACCGCCACCGCCACCGCCACCGCGCATACCTATGTCTCGCTTTTTGACTCCGTCAAGGCAAGACAACAATGGCATACTGTCTTCAAATATCTTAACTGTATAAAATAACGGGCAAGTCAAAATCATTTTGAAGTTTAATTTTACTGCGAAGTTGTTAATATCCCAAAAATATTGTCCTGTCAAAACTTTGGTAAACAGTGGGATTACGGTAAGTCTTTTCCATCGATTGTAACTCCAATGATACAGGTCAGTTGTAAAGTGAAGCAATGTCAACATTGTCATACTAAATTGTAACTTTGAAGCTGAAATGATTTGTTAGTTCAAAATATATAAATGCTAAAGCTATAATATTCATTATTGATTTGATATCAAACCAAATCAATATAAATTTCAGCATGCTCAACTGTATATTTTTTTTTTATTGCAGCAATGATGTGTAAAAAGAAACTTGTACCATATTAATTGACAACTTGCTCACTTAAAAAAAACCAGGACAATAACTACAAAATGAACAATGATGTTTAGCTTAACTTCAAATTTTGTCTGCAAATTTCAGAAATAGCATATACTTGCCTGTGAAATTTTCAATAGACTATCAATTTTTATCTATAGATGCTTAAATTGGATTTGTTATGTTACAGTGAAACCAAATATTTACTGACTTTTGACTACAGGGTATATAATTTGTTGACAGGTTACCTACTTTGTGGTAGGACATTCTGGTATTCGGTTAAGTAAGAGCAACTAAAAGAAGTAAAATCAAGCGTACAATTGGTGCAATTTAAGGAAAAAATAACTGTTTTCTGATGATTTTGTTGTGTCTATATCTACCTAAAATTGCACTGATTTTAAGTTTGATTTTTCTTTCTATGAAAATAGTCTATTCAACCATCTTTTATTTTAAGTGAGTACTGGTGAAAATTAACAGGATATACTTATCAATTTTAATTACATGCTTGCTTTTACTAGTGCACTTCTGAAGCAGTTCTACCATTGTCTAACATTCAAGAGACACAGAAAGCAAACCGAAAGTTTTTTGGCATGCAATATAGAAAAGATCCCTTCCCAAATACATATTATCCACATATAAGCATTAAGTACTAAGCTAATACTGTGAGGTTATGCTTTTCCATACATACTAATTTTGTCAATAGTTTATGCTGTATTGTACCATTAAGTGCATACTAAATGACACATTGGGGGTGTTTGAGTAGGAAACAAACAATTATATTTCTTGACTACTAAAAATGTTGGCATTACATTCATTTAACATGTAGCAGCAAATGCTACCATTTATATCATACTATTCAGACAAAAAAGCTGATATTTCATTAATCAAAAATTATTGTAATCATAAAAGAATAAGGTCTTTAAAAAAAGGGGGGAAAATAATTCTGAAAGCTTTGCAATCTTAAAATATGTGAAATGAATACCTCAACAGCCATATATACATGTATAACCATTCTAAGATATATTTTAAATCATATTGTATTCATAAGTACATGTACAATCATTTAAAAACAGCAGTTCAAGTTTTTAGAAATGTACAATTGTCACCTGAAGAGTATGAAAAACAGTTGTATCAGGGAAAAAACTTAACGGTCGCCCAGTCGCCCATGGCGACCAGAAATTGACCTGGGCGATCTTTTATTCAGTTGTGGTAGCCCAGGTGGCGAATTGAAAACAAAGTACTCGACAGACGGAAATCCGCTGTTTATTGTGGCTTCAAGTGCCGGCTACTTCACTGACAAAAATATAAATTCAAAAAGAAAAAAAAATCTTTTTAAAATGTATACAGGCAAGTGTCTAGAGTCGTATTGTCGCAAAGTCGCGGTCGCGATAAACAAGGATGTAAAATCAGTGTTTACCTTTGACTAAATATAGTTCACGTTAATTTAGGTCACTGATTGGTCGTCTATTTAAAGTCCGGAAAGTATCGTATGTTTGCAAGGATAACAAGAGAGACGTTCCGATGGTCATTTACAATATGAAGCGATCCAATACCCTGTTCGGTTTTGGCTTTAAGAAAGCGAAGAAATTCAGAGAAGATGACAATAGCATGTTATGAAATAATATCAGTCAAATAAAAGAACGTATAATATATAATGTTGTTAAGAATCTGGAAAACAGTACCTTTTGTAGTTCCCTTTTCAAAGCCCACGTGGTGTCCAGAGAATGAAGGTCAAAAACGAAAGTAGAATATTGTCGACCACAAATAAATAACACTAGTTCAAAATGATTTTAGTTTCCTACTTACTGAACAGTTTACAAAAAAGAGAAAATCAGAGGAGATATCAATTTTATGACAATGCTTTTAAAATACGTGTACAAGTCTTTTGAGAAAAAAGGGGGGTCATTTGTTTACAAATGTACGTATAGATACGCAAAATAAATCGATCAAGATATTTAATAAATTAGATTATTAAAGAAATAAAATTAAATATTTCATCGATCATCTACATGTATTTAAGGACAGAGAATTCTTTAGTTGTCTTAAAAAGATATTAAAAAAAAACTGGTACACAGGGTATGAAGATTCCCATTTTGTAAATGATTTTTTTTTATTAAATTTGATTGAAGTCAACAACAAAATTAAGACAAAATTTACATTTTCCCAAGCATCTAAATCACCTCCAGATATGCTCAGAATGCAGGGTTTTGAGTCTAAAATTTCAAAATTTTCTTGGGGGGGGCATGCCCCCAAACCCCCCTAGCAAGTTCAGCCCGCATTCGCGGGCTTCACCAGTGATACTCATAGTGAAATAAAGTGGGCTACTAACTTTTTGTCTGGGCTAACTGATTTTCAAGTCTAGTAGCCCAGCTGGCTACTGGCCTTACAAAGTTAAGTTTCACTCCTGTGTATATATAAAACAATGTAAATCAACAAATATTTGAAATTTCCTACTCGCTTGATACAGGTCTGAATTTGGGTTTCTCACACCGAATAACTGTAGTCAAAGTACTTAGAATTAGTTATATGATTTGAATTTATATTCAATTTTTTGTTTTTGTGCAATACACTATGCTGTTGTGAATTGACCCCCCCCCCCCCAAAAAAAAAAAATTACCCCCCCTTTTTTTTTGCTTTTGTGCAATACACTATGCTGTTGCAAATTGACCTCCCCCCCAAAAAAAAAATAAATAATTTATTTTTACCCCCCTTTTTTTAAAAAAAAAAATATTTGAAGAAATTTTCTTTTTGATTTCTAAAATCTTGAGAAAAAATTGTCCCCACCCCCCACCACCAATTTTTTTTTACCCCCCACCCCTTTTCCAAAAAAAAATTCTTTCCCTCAAGATATGGCCATAATCTCAATTCAAATTTCCAATGGAGTTTGCAACCATAATAACCCATTTAAATACATCATAAAAGTCTTAAAATAGAAATGACATACATAATCATGGCTAAAATTAATAATCCTTTATCAGCATTTTTTAAATTATTAAAATAGTAACTTCTAAAAATAAATTGACAGCTAATCACCTCAAGACAATATAACATTTCTTTATACATAATTCAAAATCAGTGTAAGGGAGGTAATTCAAACACAACATTGTACTTAAGTAATTGTCCATTAACCAGGACACCCTTGTTTTTTCTCGCTTTTTTACTCCTAATTCCTAAACGGTTTGAGCCATAACACCCAAAAGCCAATCCTAACCATCCCTATGTGGTATGGAAATTTGTAATTTAATTTCAGAGAGATCCATACACCGTTCCACACATTATTGTCTGGAAACTAGAAAAAAGCTTATTTGGGCCCCTTTTTGGCCCCTTATTCCTAAACTGTTGGGACCATAACCCCCAAAATCAATCCCAACCTTCCTTTTGTGATTATAAACCTTGTGTTTAAATTTCATAGATTTCTATTTACTAATACTAAAGTTATTGTCCGGAAACCAAATGTCTACGGACGACGTGATACCAATATATGACCGCAAAATTTTTTGCTGTCATATAAAAATTGATACTGAAATTAATTTTACACTCAACTATTTCATATGTTAAAATTAGAATTTCCTTCTTGTTTTCACATGCAATATTTTGCCATAAGTATTTCAAATTAACTGACTTTGAAACATGTTTTTATAAAAAAATCAATATCAAATTTTTATACATTGCAATTTTAAGATAATTATAAGAATGATTTTTTTTTATTTGCACCAAAATTAAACTGAACTGATTTCTTTTTCTTGAATATGGTCATAAATAAAATTTAAAAAATCTTCATACATTGTACATTGTTGTATGGTACATATGCCTGTGGTTGTGGAACCGTTTCTCTGAAGTCAAAAAGCTAATTGTACGGCTACACATGAATTTAAACTTGAACTGCTGTTCGATCATTTACTTATAAATTATGAGTTAAATGCTGAACTCCTAACATATAATTTCCATCGGATGTAAGCTACATATTGCATAACGTGTTCAAACATTCGTATACTTCAAAAATCATATAAATTATAAGTTTTGACATTCAGATCAGGCATCAAACTCTTTGTTCTGTCTTATTTAACAGCCTGAAAGGGTCTTTACTTTTTTGTTCCAATGTCTAACAAACTCATCCTAGGAGTTCTTTGGAAGGTGATACTTGTTGAAAGTCTAAGGTAACTTCACCCAGCATGCACTACTCAAAATCCCCTTAATTTCCCATTGCAGTCAAAACTATCTTGACCTCATAGTCCATTCATTATTTTCATAAAAAATTAAATAAACATGTATAAACACACTTATATGAGATTTTTTTCCATATAAGAGTGCATGAAGCAATTTTTTATCCCATGTACCATGAAGATAATAGGCCACACATTTATTTATCCACCACCATTATAAAATTTGTTTTCCATATGCAACTTTTTTCTAGTTTAATTTTCCAAAGAATACCAGTCGAAACTTATAATTCTTAGCAAAAAAATAGTTTATTACAGCTCAACAATCTGAGCTTGATCTTTATAAGTGCAAAAAAAAATATGTTTGCTTATTTAGTTTTTATGAAAAATCTTTTGTTTTTTAGCTATCTTCTAATTATCCAAAATAACTTGTTAAATGTTTATTTCAGTCATCTTAAGCTTTTTGCAACTGGTTCCATGATTTGATTGGCTAATGATATAGATTGTTAGCAAATGCAATACTGACTTCATGGTCCACCAGGCAAACAAGCAAAGTAAAATTTCATTGTCTTTTCTACACACTAAAGTAGATTAGCTGTAAAGTGCTGTCTACAAAGTGAAATAAAATGCTCCGCAGGGCGCAGCTTGATACGACCGCAGAGGTCGAACCCTGAACAGTTGGGGCAAGTATGGACACAACATTCAAGCTTGATACAGCTTTGCATTTGGATTGTGATTAAATTTTGACACAGCATAGGTTTCTGACACAGAATGAATGTGGTCTAAGAACTTAAAAATTTAAAATTGGACATTCACCTATTATGGTCCAATATCCAAAATCTAAATGCATGGTTAGATTCAGCATATCAAAGAGCCCCAAGAATTCAATTTTTGATGAAATCAAACAAAGTTTAATTTTGGACTCTTTTGACCTCAATGTGGACAAAGTTGATAACGGGGCCCAAAAATCAAAATTCTAAATACATGGTTAGATTCAGCATATCAAAGAACCCCATATATTCAATTTTTGTTGAAATCAAACAAAGTTTAATTTTGGACCCTGATTTGGACCAACTTGAAAACTGGGCCCATAATCAAAAATCTAAATACATGTTTAGATTCAGCATATCAAAGAACCCTTAGAATTCAATTTATGTTAAAATCAAACTATGTTTAATTTTGGACCATTTGGACCTTAATGTAGACCAATTTGAAAACGGAACCAAAAATTAAGAATCTAAATACATGGTTAGATTCGGCATATCAAAGAACCCCAATAATTCAATTTTGATGAAATCAAACAAAGTTTAATTTTGGACCCTTTGGACCTCAATGTGGACCAATTTAAAAACGGGGCCCAAAATCCAAAAACTTAATACACGGTATGATTTAGCATATTAAAAAACCCCAAGAATTGAAGAATAAAACCCCATTGAAATTGGTCAAGAAATAAGCAATTTATACGAAGTATCTTCTTTTGCACAATACTGTGCAATTAAATATTTCTTGCTATTGTGCAATACTGTACAATTGACAATTTCTTGCTATTGCGCAATATTGTGCTATTGGATATTTCTTGCTATTGCGCAATACTGTGCAATTGAAGATTTCTTGCTATTGCGCAATACTGTGCAATTGAAGATTTCTTGCTATTGTGCAATACTGTGCAATTGAAAATTTCTTGCTATTGCACAATACTTATTATATAATAATTTACACATCCTGTTTGGTGTGTATCTCCTACCATATCATTATTATTTGCTTTTAAATATAAATCAGAAATAACCAACTTAAAATCGAAAATTTTAAAAGAAAAAAAAATGAAAAAAGAAAAAAAATGAAAAAAAAAAAAAAATCCCCCCCCCAAATTTTTTGAACCCCCTTATGATTCATCACCCCCAAACTCAATCCCAGCCTTCCCTTTGTGGTATGGTACCTTGCAGTTCAATTTCAGAGAGATCCATACACTTGAACACAAGTTATTGTCTGGAAACTAGAAAAATGTGTTTTTTGGCCCCTTTTTGGCCCCAAATTCCTGAACGTTTATGGCAATTACCCCCAAACTCAAACCCAGCTTTTCATTTGTGATATGGAACCTTGTAGTACAATTTCAGAAAGATCCATACACTTACACACAAGTTATGGTCCTGAAACTAGAAAAATGCTTGTTTTTTGCCCCTTTTTTGGCCCCCAATTCCTAAAATTTTGAGGCAATTACCCCCAAAATCAATCCCAGCATTCCTTTTGTGATATGGAACCTTGTGGTACAATGTCAGAGAGATCCATACACTAACACACAAGTTATGTCTGGAAGTTACAAAAATGCTTATTTTTGGCCCCTTTTTGGCCCCTAATTCTTTACTGTTGGTACCATAACCCCCAAAACCAATCCCAACCTTCCTTTTGTGGTATTTAACCTTGTGGTAAAATTTCATAGAGATCCATTAACTTAAACTAAAGTTAGAGTGCGAAAACCAATGTGTCTTCGGACGACGCCGGACGACGCCAGACGACGTCGACGCCGACGCCAACGTCATACCAATATACGACCACAAAAATTTTTTTGCGGTCGTATAAAAATTGTAACTATGATTTGTTATGTTTGTGTTTCTATATAAGAGTTACATAGTAGCCTACAAGAAGGTTACAAATATCTACTAACCTCTTCAAAAAAGGTCTGTGTCTTCCTGAGTATGTGTTTCAATTCTGTTAGTTCTAAGAAATTTCTCTTCAATGCTTCAGAGTTAGCATTCACTTCCTTCATCTCATTTTCTAACTTTTCAAAGGTTGCCTTTAAAGGAATATCACATTTGCATGATGAGAAAAACACTAAACGTTAATTTTTGTTTTTTTGTTTTTTTGGTCCATTATAATTAAATGATAACTCTGCAACAGTACCATAAATTTGATATTTTTTTAGAAATTTGACAGGGTCGTCTTATATACCAGTTAAATTTTTTTTTTAAATCCGGTTCAAATCATAAAACAATTCCTAGACTTTTGACCTATCTAGAGATTTTTTCATGATTTTGGCGAAAAGTCGGCCTTTAGTGCAGCATTTACTGTACATTCAGTGCTTATCTATGTAGGAATTAAGAATTAATATAAACAAGCATTCTGTGAGTATTACATGGCAATACATAGTCTCCTACTGGTTAAAAATTCATTGTAAGGGAACGAAATTATAACTTGATCTATAATTTATCATGGTGTAAACTTCATAAAAATATCAAGTAAAAATCTTCAAGCATGACGAAAAAAACTGTTGAAAACTGATTATTTAAGTGAATTTTCTATGTCCAAAGACCATAACTCTGCACAAAATTATCAGACTGGAACAAAATTCCAACTTGATCTGTAACTTGTCATGATAAAACTATATTCTAATTATCAAATCAATATCTTCAAAAAGGACAAACAAACCTAGCACTAAATTCTTCAAACAATTTACCAAAGAAAAGGAAAAAAATCCAAAATGTCATTTTGTCTTTTACAAAATGAGTTATTTCCCTTTGAACAGAAATCTACTAATTAATAAGTATTTCATAAAAAATTTAATTCTAGGGAAAGGGCTTTAACTGAACAAAGAGAAAAGCTAAAATCGTGAAGATTGAACTTGACCTGTAACTTGTCATGATAAATCAATAAACCAAATATCAAATCAATATCTTCAAGCATGAAAAAAAAGTCTGGAAAACTGATTTGCTGGACTAACAGATGGACAGACAGACAGACGGACGGAGTGCAAACCTAAAGTCCCCTTTGACTTCGTCGGTAGGGGACTAATAACTAGGCAAATTAATCATGTTGGATTCTGTCACTCAATTCTAAGTCAATACCATTATAGCCAAAAAAAACAATGTGTTTTACACTTACCTCAAGATCAATCATTTCTCTTGGTGCAGGAGCATCAGGATTATCTCCAGTATCTAACATTGGTATACCATCTTTCTTTATTTCCTTTTCAAGAAATCCTAATAATAGAAAGAAAATATGACATTATGTATTACAAGGTATTTTGTGTAAGAAAGTTAAACAATTATTGACTAGGTTTTTTTATTGACTTTGTTTTACTTTTACAATATATGATTAATATTGGTAGGGGGATGTTTGAGAACAGGAAAACTGGTTTAACCCCACCACAATCTGTTGCTGTACAAAGTTTATAAATCTAACCTTTTTTCTCTATTCTTTCACAATGATTCACTCTACACAAGCCAGGGTAACATTTCATAGAATCATCTTGGTTGTACTGCATATGCATGTACTTTACATTTTTTCACATTAATTATACAATATTTTATTTTTTGAGACATTTCCACTTTGAATTTATTTCAAAAGTAGAGGTACAGTGATCTTAACTAGACACCTATGTAAACATTAGAATAATTTCCGTATTTGACATGAAGTAAGTAAGAAAGTAAAATATTCATTATAGTGACATGTGTAAATATGTACAAGTTATAAAGATATAATATACAAGACATATGAATACACCTGGCCTAATAAACCTATAAGTCACCCAATAACATGTTAAATAATATTAAACACGTTAAAATTTTCACGTTCTTGCAAATTATTAATGAATTTATCTTCAATACTGTTAATCAATCTAATCATTGTTTTAGATATCTATTTGTAAATAGAATTATACCTTTTGGAGTATGCCTGGACAATGTATTTGTCCAATTTTCGAGTATGATTCAGTATCAACATTTTAATTTTTTCATTATTGTCCATAGTTAAGAAGATGTTGACAAAAGTTCACCAAACAAATGTTCTCTGATACCAGCATAGAATGAAACAGTCCAATAAAATATGAGTCTCAGATTTGGTCACTTCATCAAAGCAAAATCTACATGAATGATATATACTGATTTATTCAGATACTGTAAACCAGCTTATTTTCGAGGAAACTTTATTTTGCATTAAGCCCTTTTTAGACCACTTAGAAAAGTTTGTTTACAGTATTAGAGAGAAAATCTGTTACTACATGTATACATTTACAACATACTTAATTTTCTTTCCATTTCATCACACCTTCTTACTTCATTCACAAACTTTCGCTGAAATGCATTTACATCAGGATTCAGCTGAAACAATAAGTAATCAATAGAAATAGAAATAAATCATTTTTTATGTCATTGCATGTCTAAGGTAAGTTTCTGGTAAAAACATAGAAACATATTATTAGGATAAGGTATAAAACCACTGATGAGGGTCCTGACTATGGGACATGCAGTGTTCTCCCCAGGGCCTTTATATGATATAGAGCATCATGGTAATGTGATGCTATTAAAACACGATTCCCTTATAGAAAGTGTTATGGATGTGATGCTATTAAAATTCTAGAAACAAGATGGTATTTCATGGGTTCTCTGTTTACCAGGATGCTATATGAAATTTGTAGGGAGAACACTGGGACATGCATATTAAGCGTTTTAGTTAACATATTTAAACTACATTTTTTTAAATCTTGCATCGAAATACATTTTAAGTTGAACTCTGCTATTGTCAACACACAACCCTAAAAAATTACTACATGTATACTGTATTAAGAATGTCTCCCCAAGGATAACAATTCCAACAATAAATAGACTAAATTAAGTGTGTTACACACATTAATTACATAATATCTATATCATGTAAATGTATGTTACAATTAAATATCTTAATCTTAAAATCAAATAGATTTAAATGTCTGTAACATATTAATATTAATTTATAAGCTGCATTAACCTATATTTTGTAATTCATTATTTGAGTAAGTTATTAAAGCATTTAAAACAACTAAGGATCCACCCCCATGTAAATCAAAGTCAAACAAATTTTCTGTATGAACTGTATGCCTAGATACATGTAGAATGAAAACATGAACCACCATTGCATTAAATGTTTTTTGTATAAAAATATCTATGAAATTTAAATAAAGAATTTTATTTTTAAAAATGAGAAAATGTAAAATAAATTAAATTAAACACATTTTCTGTGTTAATTAAACTATCTGAAAACAAGGTTCCCCATGGCATGATCCTTACTTTAGACCAAACTTCAGAATTATAAATATAATACTACATATGAATAAATGATTTTTATTTAGTAAATATGGAAAATTTGATGAAAAAAGAGTTCACCTTTCTCTTGGTATTTTCTTTATTACTTTGCATTAAGTTGTTTGTTATATCTTATATTCCTTGCAATTCATGAGAACTTAGGGAAATCATTTTTCATAATTAACTGTTCAGTCTAAAGTACATGTACATGTAAAGTGTGAAAAATAGGCAACTATATACACAACTTCTTATTGTCCTAACAACTATTTCATACATCATTTTTAAACAAACAAATGTTCCATAAAAAGAAGAATTAGAGGTTCTCAAAAGGTTTGACCAGGTCAATTTATTGATGTACATCTTACTGATAATTTGATTAATGGTTAAAATTGGATAATTTTACCGGCTTTACTGGAAAAAAAAAACTTTTATAGTTTTTACTTACATCTCTGAATTGTACAAGTCCAAGTTCTCCTAACTCAGACACACATGTGTAAGCAGCTTCTGATTGGAGAAATAACTGACATAATGTCATCTCTTCACTCCTTAGTAACGCCCCCATTTTGAGTTCGCTCTGATCACAAGACTATGGATATTATTGTTCTAACTCTGAAATGAAACAAGCACAATATCTTCAGTTTATGTTCAATAAAAGTCAAAAATATTGTTAACGCATATCTACATGTACATGAAAACCAAAAACAACACAAGAATATGCATCCACGGGAGACTTTGTTTTGCTTAGCAATATTCAGTAAACCTTAAAATCTTGGTCAAAACCTTATTTTTTAAACAAACATGTACATTGTATATATATTATACACATTTTTTTTACTTTGATTAACATGGGGGTGGATCCTTAGTTGTTTTAAATGCTTCAATAACTTAGTAGTAGTGTGTTTCGTCTACAGAAGACTCATCAGTGACTCTTGAATAAAAACCGTTGAAAAGGCTAAACTTACCTGAAAGTCATCCTTATATACTTAAAATGTTTCTTATATTTAACCTACGTGTATATGTATTAATGTCCTCATAGAATGCATAAACTTATATCAGAATTCCAAGTTTTAAACTTGATCATATATCTGTATCTGTATCTATCTCTATGAATGGAAACTTTTGGCTAGAATACCAGACTTACTGCTTTTTACAATTTACATGCTTCTACTTGCTCAAAAAACATGTGTACATGTAAATGCATACAAAATCACAACGCTATAACTCAATCCCAATAATGTGGATAATAACAGTATACAAATGCAGAAATTTGGTCTAGAAAGATACGTTTATTTATATTTGCATGTATGTGTCTTTCGCTTTAAAACTTATTACATTTTGTAGTTTGTACAAATTATTTAGTTCCCATAAACTAGAGTATGTTGAGATTTAAATTGGAAATGAAAAACATAGAGTTTTGTAAGTTGGTTGTATATTTTCAACAAAGTAAACACGTGTATACATTAAGAAATAAAATATGAGCTTTCTAAAAAAAGAGACCATTCTAATACCAATAAATCAATCACTTCAAAGTTAACAATTACATGTATTTTGTAACAATAATTGTATAAATCATGTGTGGTCAAAAGCATTTCACCTCTTGGAAATTCCTCTGTATACATGTGATGATGATATATTCATAAAAGAACACATTTTTTCTAGTCTGATTTTAATGACATTTTTACTGTTAAACTCATAAATGTGCTCAGTATTTATGCTAATTATGAAATATTTATTTATCTTCCAATTTTATATTGAAATTAAGTGTCATATTTTTCTTATATCATATCGCCATACATTTTTTTAGTGCAGAATTCATATGCCTTAACATGCTTAAAGGCCCTTTACAGTGATTTCCTTAAAAGTATACAGTACATCTTACATTTATTTCATAATTATAGCAAGAAACCACAGACATTTCTATATTTAATGCACAGGCACTTGTAACTGAAAAAAATTATCTTTATACCTTAATATAACACATATTAAGGTATATAGTTTAGATAAAAATTCAGAGACAAGAGCCTGTGATTTAATGGTAAAAATTTCTTTCAATTCGTACAAAAAGTAATTTTATGAGAATTTTTATTAGAAATGTGTTTTTGTATGAAATATGTAGCAGAATTTTCTAATGGTGAAACACTTTTGACCTCTAAGTGAACTTGTAATTTTTATGTCTACACTTTCATTTTAACAAGTAACTGTTTGCAAAACTTATTTATCAATATTTAAGGGGAATATTTTATACTACAGGCATACATGTGTAAATAGACTTGTGTTCTTGGATGCATAATTATATACACATGTACAGTACTTCAAAACAAATGTATGTGTACTGTGGATTATGATTGTTTATGTCAAAAATAATGTGGCCGATTTTCGATCTTCTTTCTGATTCTTAGTAAAATAGCTTGTTCTTCTTGTTATTACCACACAAATTTGTTATTGTTCATCATTTGTACCAATATCATAATTATGAATATTATTAATTTCACTTTTAGAAAGGATGTTCTGTAGAAAAAAATTGATACCAAAATCTATGAAAATAACAATACCTTATTGATTTGAAATACAGTAACATAATAACAATATAAGGATTCAACATGAAACAGATACAGTGCTTGACAGAGCCTCACATTTCCGCCATTTCTAAGCCTTAATGTTATGATTATATCAAGTCAATACTCTATTATTGTCGATATATTATTGCTATTTTCGAACAATCAAATGACTTCATATTTTTTCGAAATTCATATCAGTGGCATAGTTTTAGCTGCTTATCAGTCATGTCATGCCATATAATGGTAACATAACATTTATAAAGAAATATAAAAGATTAAAACTTTAAACAGTCTGTTGGCAGTGTTGTGTAACTTGTGTCTGTACCTTTGAAAATTCAAACAGGATGTTAACATGGTTAAATGATGATGATATACGAAATTTTCAGTTTCAAATGACAATGGATCTTTAATATTGGGAGGGTTGAGCACTCACAAACATGTTATACCAGCCACATTCTTTATGTGAATGTCCCAAGTCACTAACCCGTAGTTCAGTGGTTGTTGTTGGTTCATGTCTGTCATATTTGTTTTCGTAAATTGTTTTGTTATAAATTAGGCTGTTAGTTTTCTCAATTGAATTTTTCATATTTTTCATGCCGGGCCACATTTCCTTATTTTTATAAAAGTGCATTTCTTTTTAATAAATAAATTATAAGTGTTGGGAATCAAATGGAAAAATATAATCAATTAATCAGAATAATAAAACAGCATGGTTTGATTAGAATTTTGATTAAAATTGGTTTAAACTAATCAATTTTATCTTTCTTTTTTAAGGATATATAAAATAATTTTCAATAACTGTAGTACACATGTATATTGAATAAATAGATTCCGGGCACCTATAACTGTTTATACATGAACCATGTTAATTTCAACTCGCTTGTTTGTAATAAGTAAGACTGAAAACCACATGACAGTAGTGTGACCTGAAGATCCAGTACGCCATAGTTGTATGTCAGGTAGCTCTTCAGGATTTTTTCTCAACTTTTCTAGAGAAGCATATTTTTGTCATTTAAAAAAGTATGGCTGATCACATTTGATAAAATGTGTACTTGTAATGTCTTAAAGCTCTTTAAAAGCAACTTTGAACATGTTTGACATTTATCACATTATAGTGTTGTTGTCATTCCAAAAAAAACAAAAAAACAAGTCACAATGTACATGATGCATGTGTGCACAATCAAAAGTGACAAAATATTGTTGATACACATGATACAGGTACGAAAACATATAATATGACATGTAATCTGAGAGAATGATTTGCCTTCCAAAATTAATTACTATCATGACTGTGTACTAGTGAGGATCAAACCCAGGACCCCTGGCACAGTAAGCATGGTAAGCCTGATCGCTCTATCAAATGAGCTAAATGAGTACTCCACCAGCATACATTTTAGCTAATGGAGAGCGGTTATAAATCTACTACATGTAGATTACTTGTATGGGAAACCACCACTACACTTCCCCCAATTCAGGAATCGTTATACAATAATGACAAAATCTTTATCACTTTTCCCTGGCTAGGTATTTCATCTAACTCTGGGTTATTTTTGGGTGCCAATTTTTTAACCGAGAACATGATTTGCCTTTCAAACTGAATTACTGTACCAGTTGGGATCCAAACCTTGGGACCCCTAGCACAGTAAGCCACCACACATCAACATAAATAAGAAGATGTGGTATGAGTGCCAATGGGACAACATACATGTATAGATCTACAATGTATATATACCCTAAATCATAGTCTTTTTATCATTTATAAAGCCTTTTGGCGAAAGTTTTGCAAACTCTGATCATATGCAAGTGCTACAATAGCATAACAGTGACTTATCTTACTGTGATTTTAGGGGGCTCTACATATTGTCCAAAGGGATTACATAACAGTCAGGATGGAAATTTTTGAACTATACAAACCAACTGATCATATGAAAGCATATAAGTTAGACATTTCTACGACAGTGTTTGCACTGTTCCTTAATGATTCTGAAAAAAGAAAACTTACACAATTTTTTTTTATTAGCAGCTGCTTTTCTAACACGACGAGCATAACATCATACCGGTTGTAATTTTATACTAGCTCACAGATCAAAAACCGAGGTCCGAACCTACCTAAAAGCTGGATGTGGCAGCCTGGGAAATCGTTTTACTAAAGACTTACAAATATGATCCTAGGATTTTTGCATTCTTTGAGTCCTTGAATAGTTCCATACAACAGTCTATGCGAATATCTACATAATTTATTACAAGAAAGCACGTCTTTTCGTCATATGACAACAACGTCACCAATCAATGACTGAAGAACTTTAAAGGGAGATAACAAATCAAAATAGTTCTTTCCTAATTAAAAATTAAAGGGCCCTTAAGGTCATATCAGTTACAAACAAGTGAAAAAGACACAAAAAAGGTAAACATAAATATTCATTGACATTACATGCAATTAACATCATTATATGATTTATCTAAAGAAATACAATATTTGTGAAAGGAGAGCCAGCTGGGTGAAAGAAAGATAACTCCACTCTTAAATATTCTATGTGAACTTATTTAGATATTGCACAAATCCATAAGATACTAGTTCATACCTAAAAATAGATAATTCATTTAAAGGTTGTATAAAAACAAGTACTAAAAACTACTTTGAAAATTGGATTTATAGGCTTATAAGATGCAAACCGTGTGTCAATTTGGTAAATTTATCAGTTTCCAAATTTTTGTCTCGCTCCAAAACTTATTTGATAACATGTCTACAGTAAATTTAGCTGCGCTTGTTTGATATATTTTCGGAGTTTTATTAAGGTTTTTTTATGATTAGCGTTTTTTTATTTTAAGAATTTAGATTTAACTCTTAAACCAAGGAATATTAATTTATACAATTCCGTACTAAAACCAATGTTTAACCAATTGCATCAGCACATTGCTCAAAACCTACAAAGCAAAATTAAAAAAATACTGATTCTGAAAAATTAGATTAAAGTTTTTGTAATATATAGATGAAAGTGGAACGTACACCTTATGTTGACCAACTTTCTATGAAATCATGGCTGATCGATCTATTAGAAATGAGACTATTTAAGCTCTCATACTGTGATCTCGGAAGAGGGAGATATACGTCATAGAAATAAAAGATTTTGTAAAGAATGTTTGCAAAATAAATGATTGCAAACGAAAAACCACTTGTGCGAACAACATTTCACTCTAGAGTGGCCAGAGTTGTATAAAAGAGAGGCGTAAGATAACAAAGGGATATTCAAACTCATAAGTCGAAAAAAAAACCAACTGACAATGCCATGGCAAAAAAAAAGAAAAAGACCAAAAGATAAACAACAGTATACAAAACACAACATAGAAAACTAAAGACTGAGCAACACGAGCCCCACCAAACACTGGTGTAACATTATAGGTGTGAAATTGACAAAATAAACTTGTATACGTCACCTATTGATATTATAGTTGCAAGTCATATATTGCATGCCGTATAACAATGCAATGTGCTTCGTATTCAGCCTTTACCGATCTTTATAATAATTATTGTGTTTGTGCTAATAAATATTGTCTATTATCTTTAATATGTCATTTTATTCATTTTTAGAGAAAAAGCCTACTCCTACTCCATGGTCCATGACTTTCTATGACACATTCTACAATTTCAAGCACTATTAGCTTTTATGTTCTTCTGTTGAGCAAATATGCGCAAATTTAACCAAAAGACTGGAAAATTAGAATCATTGCAGGCTGGGACTAATAGACGTATTTTACATTTGAATGCATTACTTAAAGACACACACAATTTCCGTTATCCTCTATACCTCAAAAGTCCTTCAAACAAAAGTTGATAGATAGATGTCTGACTGTAAATCCGATAAAACGAAAATCTAAATTAAGCCGGAAACTGAAATTTAATTATAAAGTGTTGTCAACCTTGTTCTTACTACCGTAACTTTCTTTTTATTATTTAATGTTATCTTTTATTGTTAGATAAAATTTAACTACAACTTTATATTTTGTCTGTCTTTTGTCTACAGAAGCCATGTTTGAAAATATCCTTTTATTTAATTAAAAAAAAAATATATCAGCATAAGATACCGCAGGCAGAATAAAAACTTATAAGTCGATGAAAGACCGACAGAATTGTGACAAAAGACGAGAAACGACGAAAAGCGCCAGCAAACTAGTTTAACCCCGCCACATTATATATGTGCCTCGGTCCAAAGTCCGGAGTCTGTAGTTCAGTGGTTGTCGTTGGTTCATTTCTGTCATATTTGTTTTTCGCAAATTGTTTTGTTATAAATTATCCACATTCGAGGAAAATACGATTGGAGAATGGCTTAGACAATTTACTGACATAGATCTGGGACATAATATATTAGTATATTAGTCCCAGCATAGATATATTCCATAAGCGTCAACCAACTCACGATGGCGTACATACAACTTCCGAAGGAATGACTTCAACTTAACAACTTTGAATCCTTGGTTCAATAAGCAACCCTCTATCAAGGAAATCATGATAGGAAACACTAGCCCTGGAATATCGTGTCATGAAATGTTGCTACACAGAAATGGAAAGTGTACAATGGTTAAGTTGAATTCATCTCTTTTGTTATAAAGTTAAGCTCTCATCCGACCCATATTGTGTATTTCTAGATGTAAGTCAATGTAATTTGTGAATATATCAACACGGTCACAAAAGTTTGATTTATTCAATAAACGGACATCATCGTAGCGCAATATGAAGTATTTTTTCTTGAGAAGCCTATTTCATTTTAGGTGAACTTTGCTTTAGGGAATTGGCATATATTTGGCGTTTATAAAAAAAGAGGCGGAAGAAACCAACAGGAGAATCAAAACTCATCAGTCGAAAAAAAGACTACAAAAATTATCTGATAACGAAAAACGAATAAAAGACAAACAGTCTAAAAAAAATCAAAACAGAAAACTAAAGACTGAACAACACGAACCCCACCAGAAACCGGGGATGATCTCAGGTGCTCCGGAAGGATGAGCATATCCTGGTATACATGTGGCACCCGTCATGTTGCTCATATAAATACAAATTCGGTGATAAGTCTCATTCGGTGATGAAACATTCGAGGAAAAGAGGACGGGAATGTGGTAACGACTTTGAGTAGTTTTAATCATTATAAAAAAAATACAATTTATGAAAAGTTGATTTATCATTGTGGTTTTTTTAATGAAGGAACTTGAGATATTATAAGTATTAAATATTACCTGAAGCAGACAAAAAACTCCATTTTAAAACAATTTATCTTTTTGTCCTCACAAAACTACCTCAATGCTATTTTATTCAATCTGTTGAAATGATCATTAAATTTGTTTTACATCCCTTTTATTAACCATTTTTACAACTTTAAAGTAAACTCATATAAGGTTTGATTAATAGCCATGGGAAAGGATAAATTTGTAATGTCACTCGAAGTCGGAATATGTTCTAAATTTGTCAGACATTACTTGGTCATGATTTACGACTCGGACTTTAAATATTCATAAAACAAGACCAAGTATACCCAGTCTGTGGAAGGTGCATGGGAATCCACAAAAAAAACGTTTCTTTTGTGGAGTAGCGATATTTTCTATTGTAAACGAGATGCATTGTGGGAAAATCGCAGACGAATGTTTTCATTTGTAAGAAAGAAAGAAGATTTTTCGGTGAATTGTTGTTTTTACCTTTTTAAAACAGAGACGTATTCAACAGGACATACGTCTATATAACTATCCATGAATTGTGTACATCTAATCCCAAGTATGTTGTTTTTATACGAGAAAACCTGCATATGAATTAAATGAAGCCTATTTGCACAATCTAAAATTCAAAAGTGTACAAATACTATGACAATCATGTAGCAAAGACGGTGGCATACACATTTAATGTGTTCGGTTCCATTCTACGTCATAGACGCGTGTAGTAGAATAATACTGTTATATTTTATTATATGAGTGCGATATTTTCATAGTAGAAAAGCGATGTTTATTTTATTATGAAAAACTGATAAATGCTATATTTTTTTCATAGAAATGCGATATTTTTTTCATATGAAAAAACAATTACAATAATATGGCACAATTCATTCCAAACAAACAAGACATCGGCAATAACTCATCGGTGGTATAGGAAAATTATCGCTGGCACTGAAATTTTGTACCTGTTATAAAATAAGGAGATGTGGTATGAGACAACTATCGGCAATATGACGTGGGTTTAAGCAATTGTATGTCACCACGCGGCCTTCAACAATTTTGCAAAAAACGCATAACGCCGGTATACAGTCAGATAAAGGTTCCGACATGACAAAATGATGTGAAACAATTAAAAAAAACCTCCAACGTTCCGATTCATGACAAAGGAATAAACGATAAACAGATATAATAAACAGCAACCAGTAACAACCACTGCATTGCAGCTTCCTGATTTGGGACAGGCACATACATACTGTGGTGGGGTTAAAATGTTTGGGAGCACTCAAACCTCCCCTTTATCTGCATATGACCGCACTGTAAAAAATATCAAGTATTGGAAATGACTTGACTGCTCATATCGGCACGAAGCACAAAACAACTAACGTAAAGACACAAAGTACCTATCTAACGGTACTCGAAGTTACTGAAAACTTGTAAAAAGCAATAACATCTAATAAATAAATCATGTTCTTCCAGATTTAAGTATCAATAAGTACACATCCAATGTATATATATAGTTTAAAGACGCCGTAAACAGTCTGAGAAAAGCATGCCTTGTGCAATGCCAAAATATAAGTACAATATATCGATAGGATATTGGACCATAAGTTTTCATAACTGTATAGCGACATATTCAGTAATGTTTTAATTTACCAAAAACAAAATTAATTAAAGTCATATGAGACGAGTTTCTTTAAATTATAATGTTAAGAAAATTGTTGAACCAATGCGTGTATGTAAACTAAAGTAATTCCTTTGTGCATGATTTTTTTTTATTACGAAGTCATAAAGTATAATCGAAAAAAATGCTTCATTCAGTGAAACTTTGCCTGCTAGTTAGCTTTCGGGTTTAATAGCCGAAGTTAAACGATCGTAACCCTAATAAACAAGCAACACATAATCCTAGAGCACGTGAAAAATAAGTGAAATTATATATATAGACATGCAATAGAGCGATGTTTATTTGTTTTCAATTATTTCCATGTGCTTCCATTTGTTAATTAAACTTTGATATAACAGTTGTTAAATTATTTTGTGTATTAAATGTTCTTCTTTCAAAATCAATTAACAGTATCTAAATTCCACGTATGTTTACCTTTTCTTTCATCACGGGTTTCCCCTCGCTCTTGCGCTGTGCGGTTGCCGAAGTACTAACGAGAGGTCTCGTGGTTAAAATCGCTGCATACGGAAAAACAATCGTCGAATCAGAGTACGGAAGACTTTGAAGTTTTTATAAGATAAATATTTTTTTTAAATAAACGGTTCACATGTTTAATAGTAAAACTTATCATCAGCTCAGTAGTCAGTACTTCGGTACTAAAATGATTTATAACAAACCTTTCTAAAATTGTCCGTTTATAAATTCAGAAATTGATAAGAAACTAAGGTTTCAACTCCCTCAGGCAAAGTTGAACTCAGATGGAATTGGCAATTATTTTTATGTCTTTTTGTGGTCACATAGTTCATGTTATTCATTTGTTTTAGCCACAAGTATATAGAATATATTCAACTTTTTTTTTCAAAACGACCTTGAAAGGCAGGTAATTATCGATTTCAGACTATTGATTTATTGTAATAAACAGTAGGTACAATGTATAGTGTCCGGCTGGGATTATGGCATGGTATTGGTTGCAAAAATTTGATATTTTTCATTTAAATGCAATATTTCTTATTTAATTGTTATATTTCTTCATTTAAATGCAAAATTTTTTTATTTGAATGGTATAATTTTTCATTTAAATGCAATATTTTTTATTCAGATGGTATAATTTTTCATTCAAATGGTATAATTTTTCATTCAAATGGTATAATTTTCGTTCAAATGCAATATTTTTAATTCAATTGGTATAAAATGCCATTTGAATGCAATATTTTTTATTCAATTGGTATAGTAGTTTTTTTATTTATATGCAATAATTGCATTATTGGAAATTCTTTGACGTCATAAGGGAGCTACTATTTGATTTTTATGGGGGGGGGGGGGGGGGGGGGGGGGGGGGGCTAGGATGAACAATTTTGTCCTGCTTTTTTTTTTAGTTGTAATCTCTGTCCTGCCTTTTTATTTTTTACTCTATTCGGTCCTGCTTTTTTTTTTACTAGTTTATCCTGATTTTTTTTACACAAATTGTCATCCTGCCTTTTTTTTTTACTCAAACTCCTGTCCTGTCTTTTTTTTTACTCAAAACTCCTGTCCTGCCTGTTTTTTTCAAATTTCATCCTAGCCCCCACCCCCGTAAAAATCAAATGGTAGCTCCCTAAGGTCAAATTTGCAACAACGTTTGTGGTTGGTCGGTAATTGTTTGGATTTCTCCCCTTTCTTTCTAAACTTGAGTGACCAAGAATTAAAAAACGCGTCAGAATATCGTTCGTGCGAGTTCGTGCACTGGCTGTTAATGCCAATAATGGCTAGGACGAGCAAAAAATGCGAGTGACAAGTAATAATAATTAATTTGACACACAACTTGTTCATGGATAGAAACAGATGACTGGCGCATGGCAAAAACACCTCCAATGAAAACCTTTTCTGAAGAAACTCTCCTACAGTCTACACATTGAAATAAAAAAAAATACATAGCTAGCCCCCCCCCCCCCTCCCCCTTCTAAGTCCAGATACATGTAATCATGACGTTCTTTAGTGCTATATCATTTTTTACTTTTCTTGATACTCAGAGACGTTGCAGGAAGGCACACATGAAAAAAGAATAAAAAGCATCCGGGACGTTACAATTATTTGGACTAAGCCCCCTCTTTTTTACTACATGTAGAAAAAAAATCACCTAATTACGACAGCAGAACCAGAAA